CCCTTTTTCTTCTTCTTTGGTTACTTTATACTGGTTTATGCAAATTGAATGGTTATATATGCTGGTTTATCATTTCAGGTATACTTCAGGCATAGTTCCAAGATCTGTGTATACATCTGGGAAATCATCATCAGCTGCTGGCTTGACCGCAACTGTTGCCAAGGAACCAGAAACAGGGGAATTTTGTATTGAGGTCAGTAAACTGTTTTTTCTGTACTTTAATGGATATGTGAATTAATTGTCCTCTCAATCAAGCAGCTGGACAGGTTGCCCAGGCAGATATTTTTTTGTCATTTGTGTTTTACTATGGCGTACGTTTCTATGTTTTAGTGAATTTAAAATGTTTGGTATGCTTATTGATGTTGCAATTAGAATTTGCATTTAGCAACTCATATGGTGTAGCATATAAACTATTTATGAAACTTAACTCACAGATACAGTCTGAGTAGGGTATAAAAGATCTGCGAAGGATAGAGGGTTCTAACATGTTCGGGTGTTTCATCTTTATCTGATATTGTGATATTTGCCTTAGTCTTGTTTTCTTGAATGTTAAAGAACTTGTTTTCAGGCTGGGGCATTGATGCTTGCAGACAATGGCATTTGCTGCATTGATGAATTTGACAAGATGGACATTAGAGATCAGGTAAGAGACGTGTTTTTTGACTTGTCTCTCATGATCATTAATTGGCAAGTATCTCAATGTTTGATTGGATTGAAGGTTGCAATTCATGAGGCCATGGAACAGCAGACTATAAGTATCACAAAAGCAGGAATACAAGCAACACTTAATGCTCGTACTTCCATTCTTGCTGCTGCCAATCCTGCTGGGGGACGATATGATAAATCTAAACCACTTAAGGTAAGATGTTCTGGTGCCTGGTCACAGCTATTGATTGCCTTGACATTAAATACAACCTGGGCTAATTGCTATATATATATATAATTTTTTTTTTCAGTATAATGTGGCTCTTCCACCAGCTATTCTTTCAAGGTTTGATCTTGTATATGTTATGATTGATGACCCAGACGAACAGACAGATTACCACATAGCTCATCATATTGTCAGAGTCCATCAAAAGCGTGAAGGTGCTCTTACACCAGCATTCACTACAGCGGAGCTGAAGCGTTATATAGCTTATGCAAAAACTATTAAACCAAAGGTTAACGACTTGTTTATAACTTTTGGATCAAGTACTTTCTTGAATGGGGATAATTTTGCCTTCGTGCTTCTTTCTGATGTAATCTGATTAATGCAGCTCACGTCAGATGCCAGGAAACTACTCGTGGACTCTTATGTTGCTCTCCGTAGAGGTGATACAAATCCTGGGACTAGGGTTGCATATCGTATGACAGTTAGGCAGTTGGAGGCATTGATCAGGCTGTCGGAGGCCATTGCTCGGTGTCATTTGGAAAATCAGGTGCTTTAAGATTTCAGAGGCTTATCAGTATGCATTTGTTGTATATTTTCTTTCTGTGGACTAAAGAAGATTTTGTATCAGGTACAACCTCGTCACGTTCGTCTAGCTGTGAAACTGCTGAAAACTTCCATAATAAGGTACGAAAATATTTCTTGCATTTTTCAGTTTTATTTTGGGAACTAGATTTTGGTGATAATTGCATTTTACATTTTGATCCGCAGTGTGGAGTCCAGTGAGATTGACCTATCTGAGTTTCAAGAAGAAAACCGGGATGATGGAACCGGTAATGGTGATGAAAATGACAATAATAGAGATGCTAATGGTCATGTGGGAAACTCTACAGCTCAGCAAGCTGCTGGAACTGATGGTGAGGTGTCTTTTACCCATTTTACCTTGAAATCATCTACTTTATAAAGAAGCTTAATTATTCGTTGGTTTAATTATCTTGCAGGAAATCCTGGAGATGGGTCTAAACCCCAAGGGAAGAAACTTATTATAAGCGATGAATATTTTCAGAGAGTTACCAGGGCCCTTATCATGCGGCTTAGACAGCACGAAGAGACTGCTATGCAAGAAGGTGGTAACTTAAAACCATCTGTTATTTGTTATTTAACATTTGAACATCGAGAAAATTTAAATGTTCAATTAATTAAGTTTTTTAATGGACCCTACACATGTATATTTTACTCAGGTTCTGAAACTCTGAATACCACTTGACTGGTGTACAAGAAGATTTATTTTTATAAACTGACTTTTATCCAAGGATAGTAGGAGTGTCCGACGTTATTTATTATTACCTCTGGTCTTTTTTAAAAGAAATAAAATGAATTTTTTTTTATTATAAAAAATATGATAGATTTAAAATGTATTTTTTTATTAGTATTATTAAATATATAAATTGCTTCATTTTGTTTATTGTAAAAATAACTTCTAATTCTTTTTAAAAGAAATAAAATGAAGTATTTTTTTTTTATTATAAGTAATAAATGATAAATTTAAAATATATTTTTTTTATTAGTATTATTAAATATATAAATTGCTTCATTTGTTTCTTATAAAAATAACTTGAGAGAGTATATTGAAAAGTAAATTTTATGTGAACTAAATAATTACAGGAACTGGTTTGGCTGGGATGAGGCAACGAGACTTGATTCAATGGTATGTAAACCAGCAAAATGAGAAAAACAATTACAGTTCCATGGAAGAGGCAGCAGCCGAAGTTTCCAAAGTTAAAGCTATTATAGAGGTACACTTTTTGTTTTACATCCTCCAAAAATTTAACAGCTTCTCAGGCATGTTAATTATATCAAACGCTTGTACCGCAGAGTTTAATTCGAAGAGAGGGCCATCTGATAGTGGTAGACGACGGTAGGCAAGCAGCAGCAGAAGCTGGAGGTGCAGAGCAGTCAACATCGGTATCTAGAAATGACCGAATTTTAGCTGTGGCTCCTAATTATGTCATTGATTGACAGCCAAATGGTGAAAAGAATTTGGAAATTACTTTATTTCTCATTCCCAATTATTGCAATGACTTGATGGTTGACTTTTTCGCGTCTTGAGCTGCAAAGTGGTTCCTTATCTGATGAGTGAATTAGTTATGCTGGAATGAAAACTGAAAACTGATCAGATAACCATGAATCATCTGTTTACTACTGAAGAGAGTACATATTAATTGTCAGAAGCTTGACGATGTCCGTAAATTAGACTTTGTATAATGTATTTACGCTGATGCTGATTGAGTTGTATTAATTATTTTTAAATTTCTATTGAATTTTGAGTGTTTGACCTATCAAACTTATTTTTATTAATGGATAGGTTTGTTTCATTAAATTAAAATTTAAAATGTTTAGTAAATAAACAAGTTATTTTAGTCTAGAGGTCATAAGCTTCTAGTTTTTTATTTATCTTTTCTATTTTAATATACTTTCTTTTTTATTGTGTTTTTTCCAATCTTTATGCATGTTCTTCTATATTTCTTGAAGTTTTTACTATCACATCTCGAAGATTCAAAATATCATAAGTTTATTAAACATACAAATTTTTAATACATTCTTATACTATTTTATAAACACACACGTATATCAATTATTTTATAAGTATATTTATAAGATATTTTTAATTCAGCATATTAGTTTACAAATATTTAAATTTATTGCTAAATTTACTACAGACTTCCTTTCTTAACAATATTTTTAAGGAACGATTCGGCCAGTTCCAACCGTTTAACAGATTAAATCTGTCAGGAAAGTAATCCAGGCCAAATTTTGTGTTATTTTTGAAAAACCACTATGCTTTAGTTTCTTCTTCGTGAGTATTACTAATAAACCTAACCACACGCGATTATTTAAGTTTGATAACCTTTAATACAATCATATATAAATATACATATTTATTTAATAACTAATTTCAGTATATACGTGTCTGCGCTTTATTTGCGTAGGCTATATTGCTAACCGAGAATTTTTTTCAACGTATGAGGGACAACTTTATGGTTTATATATATGTATATGGTTGTGCGCATATAAATAGTTATATCTATATATAGTGTCAATTTTTAATTATTAGTCAAATAACAACCCATTGCTCATCAGACCTGTTATACGTAGTTAAGTACGTTACCTAATTATTTATCTGCTACTTTTTTTAATTTTTCGAGTTACAACTATTGTTACATAAAAATTTGGATCCCTTGGTTTTGAAGAAGTAAGAGTCAAATTTTTCACAGAAAGAAGAACAAAGAATAGAGAGTGGAGTATATACCTTGGATTAGAGGGCTTCCTGGATAGATACCTTCAACTGCAGTCTACGTTTCAAATCAGTTTTTGTCCACACCACACAAACTGGCAAAGTGTTTTATTTTTCTAATCATGTTGATTAGCTAGCTAGTCCAAACTCCTAACCCCGCTTAGTCCAACCCTTAATATACAAACAATCTTCATTTCTATATTCTAAACAGAAAAGGGTTTGAACAGAATAGAAGTCACTGTGGGCGTGATTGCAGAACCAGCTAAGCCATGTGCCAAGTTTCATTTGAGAAACCAAATTAAACACAAGCGCATTTTTGTCCTGAACAACACCCAAAACATAAATGATAGAGCCAAATTATGAGTTACAGATCAACATCAGAGGTATTAAAATCTATAAAATTAATAAAATGATAGATAACATAAATACAAAATGAAAGGGACCCACATCTGATATTTGCCACCTATGGAATAAGTTGATTGCCAACTGTCATTTCCCCCACAATATGTTTCATTCGCTTTTATATCCCTATGGTTCCCCACATAATTACCACCAACACCTTGTCTTTGAAGCATATCAATCATATCTCCTAGACCTAACTCTTTTAAAATACTTGTGTATTTACATTTTTGTCCTTGCTTCATCTTTGATGTTAACGTGTCATACTAGTTGCATGGGCAGACAGAAGATGGCTGTGAAGTAATTTAAGCAGCACTGTTTGGCTGGCATGAATGGGCAAGCGGTCATGCACGTAATTAGGTTGGAATTTGAAGGCTTGTTTGGTTGTAACTTGGAAGTTTGTATAGTGTGTGTGCTGGATTATTGGTGCCTTGAGAGTGATAAAAACTCGATTTATATATGTGTTGTGTGTGTTAATTTGGAGAGACAAGTGGCTGCAACACTTGCATTGAGTTCGACTTTGATAGTTTGAGTTTGAATATTATAAGTTAAGGTCCACGAGATAGATAGATAGATAGAAAGAAAGAGATTTTGAAACACAGATGGGATACTGGAAGTCTAAGGTTCTTCCCAAGATCAAGAAGGTTTTTGAGAAGAATAGTACTAAGAAAGCTGCTGCTGCTGAGGCCTCGAAGTCCTTCGATGAGTCTAAGGTTTCTCTTCTCAACTTTCTTAACTATGTACATATTTTTCAGTGTTTTCTATTTAAACTTATTTTTATCTGTTAGAAAAGAAGCAGTAGTATAAGGGAATATATATTAATTGCTTTGGTGTTTGGTATATAGGAGGAATACAACAAAGCCTTCGAAGAAAATAAGATTGAACTTCAAACTAAAGTAATTGAAATATACGAGGCTTCATCAACTGAAATCAAGGTGAGAAAATTTAAATATATGTATCAGAATTGAAATGAATAAAGAAAAGTTAAGAACCCACCAATTAATATTGGTTGACATGGCCCTTGTTAAAAAATTTCATCATCTTGCAGGGTTTGGTCAAAGATCGCAATGAAGCTGGGCTAAAGAAGAACACCGCAGCAGTCCACAAGTTCCTAGAAGAGCTTGTTAAAATTGGTAAAGTATTAATTTATAGTCTTTTTTATCTATCTGAAAGTAGCAACTCGGATCTCTATTGTTTTAAAGACAAAACTTAAAAATAAAAACAATTATTAACAAATGTTATTAAATGTACTTCTACCATAAATTTTAATAAAAGGTTTTTATATACTGATTCCATGATCACTGATAATTTATTTATATGTACTTCAACTTAGTACCATGTGAATATATTTCAGATTTCCCTGGATCAAAGGCAGTATCTGAAGCATGTTCCAAGTTTGGACCAGCCTCAGTTTCGGGCCCAGTTTTCTTTGTTTTTGAGAAAGTATCAACTATCATAGTTACAGAAGAGAAAGTTGAGGCCCCTCCTACAGCAACTAAAGCAGAAGAAGAAACAAGCACTGTTCTAGAGAGAGAAATAGTTGTTGAAGAAGAGAAAAAGGAAGAGGAGAAACCACAAGTAACAGAAACAACTGAGAAAAAAGAATCAGAACCATCTTCAGAAGCTAAGATAGAAGAACAACCAGCTGAACCTGTTGCCTCAGATGCTAAAGAAGAGAAACCTGCTGAACCAACTTCAGTAGTTGAACAAGCAGAACCGCCAAAGCCATGATATCTTCAATCTGAATAGCACCTATAGTTGCTGGTTCTTGAAGATGCAAATATACGTGTATCTTTAGTTTGCAAATACTCAAAATTGTTACATACCAATCTCTTATTCTTTTATTTTTCTGTGATTATTGATTTGTGTTTTTGCTTAGTTTGATGTTTTGAGATTTGATAATTGATGTGCATGTGAATGTTTGTTGTGGATCATTCTGTAATTTTCATTTGCAGTTTTTAAGTCAGAGAATTGTGAAGTGCATGAATCATTATTTTTGTTCATCGAATCCTTAGTGTATGTTGTTACATTTAAAGATTTATCAGTTCCATTATGGTAGTCCTGTACTTTGGCTGGATTTTACATTTATTTGCTGCTATGTGTGGGTTCACTTTACTATTAAGTATTGATTTATTATTATTTTTTACATACAACAACAAATTGATAATAAAATATTAATAAATAGTAAATATTTATTAAAATCATAGTATTTAATATTATTAATATATTAAATTTTGTAATTTTAATAAAATTTACTTATATAAATTCTGATTATTTACTTTTTAGATATATGGAAAATTGTTGATCTATGTACACTACACAATTACAGAGAGCACACACAAATTCAGGAAAAGCTAAATAACATATTTGAAATAGAACGCAAGGATATTTTTATTTTTAAAAAAATAAATAGAAAGAGTTGTAAGCGCCTATTTAGAAAAGTATACTATAAGATAAATATATGGTGTAAAAAATAAAAACATCTATATATATCACATAAATACAAAGAATTCTTTAAAAATCTGACATATTATCCTTTACATACATGCCCACTTACAGCACTTTCTTTTAACCAAGTTTAATTAAAGTCATAAATGATTTGAAGTTGAATTATTATTATGCATACTTTTAATTTAAATTAATATAAAAAATTCCAACTATTTTTGTTCCATTATCATTTAAATTTGAAATTTAAGACTTTTTGGACTTTTATTATGTTTAAGTTAAAAATATAAAAATGTTTTAAAATAGTAACAAAACAAATATATTTTTTATTTTATATTTTTTTGAAATTTTTATTTGTATTTTGACTCTATAAATTTTTAAATTTAATACTTTTAATTTTTAATAATTGTCAAATAATGAGATAACTAGTTAAAAAAATTCTACAGGGTCAACTTTTTGTGTAGTTAAATGAGTGAAGGAGATCAAAAGTGTTGAATTTTAAAAAATCAAAATCTCACAAACTTATAGGGATAAAAATGTTTAAATATTTTAAAAATGTATATTTTTTATAATTTAAAATATCATTAAATTATTTTATTTATAAGTAAAAAAAAAGTTAGGGTTAACACCATTCATATTAAAATATAATTTAATAAATAAAATTAGTATATATTGTTCATAATATTATCTATAATTGTAAAATCATCATTTTTAATATTTTAAATTATGTTCAACATAAGAAAATAATCATGCTATGGATGTAAAAAAGTTTCTGAAAAGAAATAAAAATATTTCGAATGAAATAATTGTACAAATTAGAAAGAAAATAACTTGAAAGAGATTAAGACAAGAAAAAAAAAAAACAAAATAAAATAAAATGATAGAATACAATATTGAATCCAAAATAGATATAACAGAGGTCATTTTAATGTTTATTTACCTACATAATTTAAGAATTTAGATCTTTATGTCATTGAATAACATGGTATCATAATATTGAAGAAAAAAATGATTTTTATTAAAACAGAATTTATCATGATTGGTCCTAGAATTTATTATTCATGCTGCATTATTTTTCTATTTAACATGGTTATATCACATTATTCAACTACAAAAGAGAATATAAATATATAATATAAATAATAATAAGTTTTCATATATGATATTTTTATTCTAATATGATATAAATATTTATGTTAATGATATAAATATTTATTTTTTCATTCATATAATGCAATTTTTTTTATGATTTAGATATGACTATAACTGAAGTTAAATATTCATCCCAATATAATCTGAATATTTATCTATGTGTTTAAATATTAATATACTTTTCTTGTAATTACACTATTAAAAAAAATTTATTTTTCTGAAATAAAACATAAATAAAGCACTTCCTCTTTTTGTTGTTTTGATTTTTTTAAGTTTTATTTCAAAAGTTATATTATTTTTAATTTTCAATTCTCATTGATTTTTTGAAAGAAATTTATTGTATAAAAATTAGTTGGAGTAATATTAAAAAAAGATACAGTACTAGCTGGTACGAATATAATTTCCTATTTAACACTTAACTGGTTAATTATCATTTACTATTACGGGTTTCAATTTTTTTCTTCCATTGATTTTTATTTTTATTTTGTACTTAAATCTAGTCACATTAATTTTGTGCTCATTTCATGAAAAATTTTATCAACAATTCTTGTGCAATCTGTGCACATTTTTCAACTGCTGTTTCTCTTAAGGATTTGATTCTTCCATATTAAACAAAATGTATTTTAAAAGTTAAATTATATTAATAATTATTGATTAAAAAAATGAACAATTAATTTTTCAATAAATTTATTTTAAATGCATTAATAATGTAAAGATTTTTTTATCCTAATATTTTTTAATAGTAAATTATCATATCAACAAGAATATTATTTTTTCTAATAATTAATATAAAATTATATCCACAATATACTTTAATTAATTAACAGTATATTTACATGGATGCTGTATCAAAATTAAAATATTTTTAAATTAATTACTGTAATCACATTTTGCTTTATAAAATATATTTTTTTGGTTCTAAAGAAATCAAATATATTATTAAAAGGCACTTTGCTGGGTGACAAACACTTAGTTGTGACAAATAGCACTGTTCTATTATCAGAAAATCTTGTTTGTATCGCAAGTGGAAAAAAGTTTGGAACCTAAACCATAGGTTTCATGCATGTAAATTGAAAAATCAGAGTCAATGGATCCAACATTTGATGTTGCTGCTTTGAATAATCCTAAAGTCACAGAGGACGATTTGAACCGTTTTAGGTATTCTGTCTATGAAATTTCCACGCAAGTTCAAAAGGTTATTTCTTTTTTCATAATTCAAAACTATTTCTCTCTCTCATCTCACTGTTCATATGTCTGTTAAGAGGAGCCGATGAGTTGGAATATCACTCACACGTGTGGATGACATTGCAATTCTCTTTTGAATTTCTTGAGATGCTAAATCTTGTTTTTCTTTAAAATTTTTCTCAGTTGAAAAATTGTTGAGTCTGATTAATATTCTCATCGTGCCATATAATAGAGATAGTAATATTTTATGCCTGTTGAACCAAATTAGACTCTTCGTATATGAATTCACCGGAATATTTAATCAGCATTTTGATAATTTGTACGATATAACTCTTTTTTTAAAAAAATTTAACAATTATTTAGTTTGTTACATATAAATATGAAGTTAATTAATGGTAGAGAATTTGATAATTTTAATGTCTTTTGTTAATTGTTCAGCCTTTCTGATTGTAATTGTGCTGGCAAAGCTCATCCAGGGGTGTTAAGTTTGGATTCAAAGCTGTGACCTCTTTTATTTTATTTTTGCTTTTAGATTTTTTCTCTTGTTTATTTATCTGTCATAGTCGAATTGAGGGTGCAACATACTTTTAGTTTGAAAAATTGTACGTCTTCTGATTATGGTTCTTTTGAACTACAAAATCTGATACTGTATAATGGTTCTTTTGTCAGATTTTGGGAGGATATTTAGTAGGAACGAAAACTAATAATTTTATAGACCTTCTCTATACTACTTATGCTGTTTTCTTTTCTCTCATCCAATGTTTATTGTCTTTAGGGTTCTAATAATATTGCCCGAAAATTTTACTTCAGACAAACTAAAAAATTGATCCAAGATTTTAGCTTCAGTCATTTCTTTTAAAACTAGTTTCATTGTATAAATAATTCCCAACTCTTCACCATAATTGTGGAGAGTTTATGCATTCCTGCTTTCTCTGCACCTAATTGTAAGTTTCCATTGTAATTTTTAAATTGCACACAGGTTTAAAGGTGGAATTGAACTTCCCTTTCAGATCCTTGCACGGGCATAAATCAGCATTTTTTTTTTCATCTTATAAATATCTCATTTGATTCTATGCCATCTGCATTCCAATTACTGTGATGAGATTTCTTTTCGTTAGAATACACATTATTGTATAAATGAAACGTGTTGGCTTTTTATCAATGTTTATGGTCTAGGGAATGTTTAATATTTTGTTAAGCACAAATTGCTGCTATGCATTATGAGTTTATAGTATTATAAGTTTGAACTTGAAATTGAGTTAAAAAAATTATTTGTGTCATGTCTTGCATGTAGCTTGAGAAGCAAGTTACTGAGGTTGAACAGTTCTACCGTTCCACTGATGTTCAAGTAAATAGTGCCAAGGACAAAGGGCGGGAGAAGCATCTTGCTGGCACTAAGAAGCCACAGCATGGTGCTTCAAGTAAGGAAGCTACTCCTTCAGACACAATGCAAGAGCTCATGCGCCAGTTTTCCCTTATACTGCATCAGGCAAGTGCTAATACCTTACAAATATTTTTATTATTTCAGATGTCAATTGTCTGACTAAGATGCAATCATGGACCCTTTTTAGTGGTACTGAGCATTTTCAGTGTCTCAAAACTGAAATTAGAGTAGGAACTCATCATCCTACTTTTATCAGTAACCATCTTTATTGAATCTTTTATCTGCCTTCAATGGTAGCATCATTGATTGTTTTACTATTAATTGGCTTTGTGTGCTCCTTGGCCATATGGGCTTGTATTGAAACTTGAAATTTCATATTTCCCTATACTAAGTTCAGATTATTCATCCACGTACTTGTCATCTTGCCTATGTGGCTCTATGAGGCTCCTCTTGACTGTGTTATAACTTGCTTGCACCTGGGTACCAGTGCAGTTACTAATTTATTGGGCTTTCTTTGTTGCATACCATCTATTTACCTGCCCTGCAACCTGAATACCCAACTAATTTCTACTTATTTTTTCACTTGTTTTTGTTAGTCTTGATTTGAGCTTTTCTCCCATTCCTAATGTGGGTCTTACGGGGGCTGGGAGGGGCTCACTGACAATTTTGGATTTCTTATATTATACTTGTTTCTTCTCTTCATGCCATTAATGTAAAAAACAATGTATTTTAAGTTTTGCTCATCAAATTAAATGTTTTTTGCATTCTCCCTCTAGGATTTTATTTAGCTTTTTTTTTCACAAGTACTTTAACTTTTTTTCGTTATCAATGCAGTTTTACTTAGTTTTTATATTTCTTTTTTTCTTTGTGTTATTGTCATTTGTCACTCTATTTTCTCTTAGCATGTGTCACTAATCAATTCTGTCAAAAACTTAAAGTTTCCCAGCTTTACACAAGGTAATATAATCAGACATTATTTGTGTAATTGGTACAGAAAAAGTACACTCCTACAAGCTTTAGTTTGTTTTTATCTAACCATGGCAATTTCAAGTTTTTGAAAAATTGAAGACCATGAATGTACTCTCACTTCTAATAATCTTGTTTAGTTTTATCTTTTACTTGTTTTATACATGAGGAGGTTATTCCAAGGTTTAAATGTACCATAAGATTTTCTGTTCATTTTAAGAGTCAACAGGCATGAATTACACGTTAGTAATTATCAGTTGGTACTGAGTACCTGTTGCCCGCTGCAAAAAGCTTCTATGGTTGACCTGATGGCCACCAGTTGCCTACATTCTATCACCTTCCAGCTATATTTACTTAATTGTACATAAGCAAATAAATTGTTGTACGCTGATTGTTTATTTTCTTGAAAGGAATATCTTCTTACTTCTATTGAGAATAATAAAGCAGAAGCAGTAATTGCTTATCTTTTTCATTATTTAATTGAATAACCTCCTGTTTTTCTGCTGAATCTTTTAAATTGATTGCACCGAGTTTCCTGCAGAAAATCAATGACAATACCTTTTGTTTCTTCTCAGATGACCCAGCATAAATGGGCTTGGCCCTTCATGGAACCTGTAGATGTTGAAGGTCTTGGACTGTATGACTATTATGAGGTATTTCTTTTTCTTGATCTAGACTACAGATATCTTATTCATATAAAGTACATTTGAAATCATGTTTGAACTTAAAAGCATGTATACTTGTACACTTTCAGAAAATAAATATTGTTTAGATGTTTTGCTTGGTTAGTGTTAGTTGTCTTTTATATCTGAGTTATTTGTTTACTATTTTCTTCTAAAAATTTTGTTTAATTTTCTTCCCCTAGATTATTGAAAAGCCTATGGATTTCACTACGATAAAAAGAAAAATGGATGCTAAGGATGGTTCTGGTTATAAGAATGTACGGGAGATATATTCTGATGTCAGGTTGATTTTCAAGAATGCAATGAAATACAATGATGAAAAGAATGACATCCATGTTATGGCAAAGACATTGCTGGAAAAATTTGAGAAGAAATGGCTGCAGCTTTTGCCTAAAGTTGCTCGTGTGGTAATTTGTTTTTCCAAAATATTTTCCTTTCTTCTGCATGAATGAAACTTTCTAATAAACAATTTTGAAGTTGCACATATGGAAATAGTAAAATAGTAGTGATTTTAGTGATCCTATGTCATATTTAACCATATGTCCATTACCTTTCATATTTGATTATCTCAGGAAAATGGACTATTAAAGGAAGAAGCACAAGTGCAGTTGGAAACACAGCTTGCTCAAAAAGCCACTTATGCCAATATGGCTAGGGATATAAACGTTGCGGTTGTTTGAATATTTTCTTGTTACAGTTGTGTTTAAAATCAATTGATTTATGTTACTTAAAAGTATATCAGATGGTTAATGTGTTTGATTACTTGCTGTGTCAGCTGTGTGATGTTGATTTGAACTTGAATAGACTCAAAGCAATGGTGATGGAAAAGTGCAGGTTTGTGAAAGAGTCATCCCTTATTACTCATTTAATTATTTTTACCTGGTGATCAAGGTCAAACTGCAATAAGTATTATATGCCATCTGTTTACTGTCTTGTCTTTAACGTTGAAGTTTAAATGTTATTAAAATCATAAGACTACCAATTATCAACGAGATTAAAGTTTGTATTTGGAAATACGTTAAAGACCTATTAACATGAATACAATGCAAAGGCTACAACTATTAGCATTAAAGTAAACTTGAATCCATGATCATTCAAATGTAAATCTTAACACGCACTAATTTCAGAGAAGGTTATTGAACAAGAAGATTTGATGAAAGGTATCCTCCTTCTTGGCATTAGCTTCCCTGTCTCACTCATGCTGTCGAAATATTCTGTTATTGAAAGATAGTGTGTCATTCTGGTGTTCTTTGTGGTTCATTGGTTAGGTAAATAAATGTTTTTCGATTACATTTTTTTGTTTCTAAATTAACTATTAAAAAAAATTGTTTAAGGTTCAAGCACAATTCAATCTAATTAACACTTCATACAGGTAAAGCAAACAAATTCTGATAATATTTGAGACTTGAGTATCTTTAGCCAATTATACTGCTTATGAAATCATTAAATCCTTTGTGTTATTTAGACTGGTGTGCATACTCATGGAGCTGTACTGGATTTTCCTATAGCTAGATTTGCATAATCAGGGAATACACACACATACATTTCATTTACAAACTGCAATAGTGTTGAACCCTTTTACCCTTGTATGGTGTATGAATGGCGTACCGTTTTTTAAAGTCACAAGGACTAGTGCGGATAGCAATATATTATTTAATCAGTCAGTAATAATTGGTTCACAAATATTTATCTTTTCATAATTTGATCCAGTAAGTACTCATGACCTTGAGTTAGGTGTGGTTCTTTTTATAGGTCCATAATGTGGCATTGTTTTGATTATGCTTATTTTGCACTGATTCTGTTGGCAATATTGCAGGAAACTATCAACTCAGGAGAAACTGGCACTTACAACTGCTCTCAGCAGACTGACTCTTGAAAACCTCACGAGAGCATTGCAAATAGTTTCTGAGAATAACCCAACCTTCCAACTTAATGTTGACGAAGTCAACCTTGACCTTGATGCCCAGGTTTATCATTTTATCCTATAGCTAATAATGTTTGTTGTCATTCTTTTTCTTTAAGAGTAATATTATTTATGCATCAAATTTTTATGACAATATCTACGAGGGAGAGAGAGGAGAAGATAAAAAAGTGTATGATTATGTAATGGAGAGAAATAAAGAAAAAAAAAAAGGAAGGGGTAAAATTTTGTTGTATTTATATTAAGATATATTTAATTTTTGTTGATACTTATTTACAAACTAATCTTATATTTAAAAAACTTACATTTTAATCTTTACAAAGTGTTACGTTTTTTATTTGTGACTATAACATCATTAAAATGAATGGTAACTTTTTCTATATCAAACATAAATTTACAAAACATTCGCCTAAATTCAAAAGCATAAGTTTTCTAGGTTGAGGAATTCAATTGTAAATTAATATATATATATATAAACCTTAATAATATTCTCCTTTGTCCATCTTATCCGAAGTTTTTCTTGTATAACAAATGCTTTCCAGATACTTAGTAAATTTGCTAATTTATACAGAGTGACTACACTCTCTGGAGACTAAACATCTTTGTGAAAAGAGCACTGGAAGATCAGGAAAAAGCTGCCCGGGACATAGTTGTTAATGACAACGATAACATTGAAGACAAGAAAAACAACAAAAGGAAGAGATTGTGATCCCTTTGTTTCGTCCTTCACATCCATATAAAGAACTAAGAAGCTATCTTAGCTTTGATTGAGCAGGATCCTCAAGAAACTTCTTAATAATTTGACAAAATGCTATGAAAAAATCGTTTACAATTTTATTAATGATTAGAAAAATATTACTTTATTTTTGCTTTATTTTCATTTCATAAGATTCATTGAAAAAATGGTGGAAACATTTTATATTTTCACCTTCTCAAATAACGCTGAAGCTCTAATTTGAAAATAATACTAAAAATACTTACAAAATTGTAACCAGTATTGTCCTATGTAAACAACAGTTGAAAAACAGGTTTCGCCAAATGAAAAAACAAATTTCTAGACACTTGATTTTGGAAATTCCTTAAAATTTAGTAAATGGATAACTTACAGCGGCCAAGGACACATGTCAACTAACATTATAACATAAAGAGTAATGATTAGGGATGATAAGGAATAAATTATCCGATCAACACTCATAAAATTGACTCGCAACAGGTTAAGTTTTTATTTGTAACTTTCTCTTGTTTACTTGGCAGAAAAAAAATTATGGAATGAATGTTAGAATTTTTTCGTAAATTAGTGTGAGCTACAATCAAATGTGGTTTCTTATATTTGTCAAAAAAAGAAGAAGAAGCTAATATTATGATACTCAAGTTAACTGATAATGTGATTAATTGATAAAAGACTTTAGACACTTAATATTAATATATATTAAAAATAAAGTAGGCCTTAACTTAAAAGCATGTGATAGAAAGAATTAGAGTTAATATTTTATATATTTGATTAGGTCTCTTTTATAGTGATTGACAAGTTAATAATTATATGAGTTGTTTCACAATTTCAACTATCAAAAATTGTCTTTTGAGAGTGTGACTTATGGAGAAGGTCTAACTTATCACTTCTTATAGAATTGAGAGATTGAGTACCACGACTTTCATACAAAAGTTATGTCTTTAATAAGTAAATTTAAAATTTTATTATAATTATTATTAGTATTTCTAATTATTTTTGGTATTCTATTTTTATATAGTCTCGTTTGAATAGTTTTTTACTTACAGTGGACCAATTTGGAAAAATAAAAATTCAACTCACTTTTAATTTTTAGAAAACTTTTGTAGATGCTTTTGTAAAATTTTGGTCAAGATAAAAGTTTCATTGTTTATTTAATTTAATTTTATATCTTATGTTTTCTACTTAGTTCAAAGTTCTTTTATAGGCATAATTATTTTACTTTTTTAAATGGATAAATTTTGTATGCAAAATAAGAGGTTGAGAAATTTAATATAAATATTTATGTTATTCAAAATAAAAGAATACATATTCAAAGATATAAAAATATATCTAATTATATTTTTTATAATATTAACATAAAAATATATTTACTAATAAAGTAAATCATAAAAGTTATTTTTTCATATTTTTAATAGAAAAAATTATTTACTATTTTATATTATTTAACTAGATTAATACAATTTAATTATTACATTGGTAATATGAGATTAAATTTTTTTAATTTATTTATATATGACACATATAAAATATTTTTCATGCAGATATTTTTTAAATAAAATTATATTAATATTTAAATCATTAAGTGAATTGCTAAAGCTAGTCATCGAAGCTACCTCAAGAGGTCATTTAGTGGGCATATCCCACAAGATGTCTATTGTATAAAATCACTTCAAGAAAAAAATCATTAATAGAGAAGAAAAAGTTATATACAATTATTGCAACAAGCAATTGACAGATAGAAGATCAGATGAAACAAATTATTTGCATAAACATTTTCAAACTTGTAAGAGGAGGCCATATAAGGATACAAGATAATCAATCTTATTAAGAGAACAAAAGAAAATAAACAGATCATCTCCTTATTTGATTAGTTATCACTTTGATCCAGAAAAATCAAAAAGAGATATTACTTTTATGATAATAATTCATAAGTATCCACTTTCTATGGTAGACAATTTGGAGTTTAGAGTATACTCTGAAGGCTTCCAACCTTTATTCAAGGTTACTAGTCGAAACACAATAGAAGGTGACATTATCAAAATCTATCAGAATGAAAAATTGAAAACTATGAGAGTCTTAGAGAAGATTGGAAGTAGAATTGTTTTCACAACAACCATGTGGACAACTAGCAATCAAAAGAAAGAGTTTATAACCATCATAGCTCACTACATTACTCATGATTGGAATATGCAAAGTTGTATATTGAGTTATAATTTTTGTGATCATTGTATGATATATTTATTTTCTATTATTTGCATATAATATTTTAATTATTTCAATGTTTATATATATATATATATATATATATGTATGTATAAATTCATTTTTACATTAATAGATTTGTACATGTGGAATATCCACACACAGCAGAAACCTTGTCTAAAGTGTTGGTTGAATGCATGCTAGATTGGAATATTGATAGAAAGTTATTTACTATTACTTTGGATACTTGTAATATAAATGACTCTCTTGTTAGTTTGTTATTACAAAAACTTGATTGATCTTCTCTTATGCTTGATGGTAAGTTGTTTCACATGAGATGTTATGCACATATTCTTAATTTAATTGCTCAAGATGGTTTAAATGCCCTTAGAGATAGTATAGAAAAAGTTAGGAATAGTGTTACTTTTTGGACGACTACACCTAAAAGAGAACAAATCTTTAGACAAACAATACGTCAAATCAAAGTTTCTGTTACAAAGAAACTTATACTTGATTGCAAGACAAGATGAAATTCTACTTATTACATGCTTGTTGTTGCATTGACTTATAAAGACGTTTTTATTCATTTGAAAACAAGAGAGCATATGTATAGATGTGTCCCTACAACAAATGAGTGGGAAATTGTTAAAGAAATTTGTAATAAATTAGAAGTTTTTAATCGCGTAACTGAGATACTTTTTAGGACACAATATCCTACAACAAATATTTTCTTTCCATTTGTTTGTGAAATAAAATTATCTTTGCAACAATGACAAATTTGTTCAATTGATGCTATTAGAAATATGGCTACAAAAATAGTAGCCAAATTTGAGAAATATTAATTTGTTATATATGAAATCATGGGAATTGCCACTTTTTGGGATCCAAGATATAAATTGAAGTTGTTAGAGTACTTCTTTTCCAAGCTTTATGGAAGTTCATCTTCTTTTCCAAACTTTATGAAAGTTCATCTTATTTTGAAATTAACAATGTGAATAAATTATGCTACTTCTTTTTTAGATTTGTTTAAGCAAAAATACGCAAGAAGAAGAAGATATTTCTTTCTCTCCCGTTCATCCGGCTCCCACCCAGTTTCCTTCTCTCTCTCTTCATCTAGCTCTCCTCTCCTCCCCTTCACCTTCACTCATCTCTCTCCCTTTCTCTCTTCATTCAGCCATTTTTCATTCTCCCTATTAGCCTTCTCTCGCTCACTTGTGCTCCTACCCCATCTTCTTTTCACATCTCTTTCTCTCTTTTGCTTCTGATTTTTTTGCCACTTTTTCTGACTTAAGCTAGATTCGCTTAAGCAATTTTTTTTAACTTAAATCAAAATTACTTTTTACTAAATTCACTTAAGCGAAAACAGAAGTTTTACTAATCGAGACTTTTAGTCACTTTAGTAATATTAACATCGGCTTTTCATCGCCTTGTAGTTTGTTTTTGGGTTGTTGTAGAATCGTCCTTCTCTCTAATAATAATTAATAATAGATACCTTTAACAAAGAGAATCAACAAAGCCATTGCCCCATACAATCAACAAAGAGAATTTGATTACGCTTAGGCAAGCTTTATGCATTATTTTTGTAGGATTCGATTGAGAGAATTTCAATTTCCTTGAACAAAAACAAAACTGTTCAATATTGTTATAGCGTAAATTGGAAAGAATTTAGATCCATTCGTTGGCTACATTTGAGCTTACAGAAGAAAAACGTGATGAATAATGCAATGCACCAAAAGACATGTAGATCAGGGAGGAGGCATTTTAATTATTATTCAATGCCATTCATTATATTAAACCAATATTCCATCCTTGGTTACCTTGCAAGAGTCAATTTAGCCTTATACAACTTCAATAGTTCATCAGCTTCCTTGTCATGACAATAGATAAACTTATCCAAGAACAGCTTTTCATTAAACTGAAAAATTGCACGCAGGCTCATCTCCTTCATCTTCATCAGACCCTTTGACTTCAAAAACAGAAAAACAGAACCCCTTGGAGTGATCCTTTTTCCCAAGCTCATAGACAACACCACGGGATACCTTGCAGCATCAGAAGCCTTAAAACCCAACTTGTTCACCAGAAAATCCATAATATCCTCAATCTTACTTTCTGAAGTGGCCATACAGAAAGGATGCACTCTGAAAGCAGCTAAAATATCATCATTACTCCAACCCCATTTTCTATAAACACATTCCTTCCTTGCCCATGTGGACCTACTCAGACCCACCTTCAAATGAGCAGCAACAATAAATTGCATCCTCAAAGGGTTAAACCCCAATTCCTTAACTTCTAAAACTGACTCCTTAAACTTCTTAGGGGATGATTTCAATGTGCGTGGATAGTACTCCACAAATCTTATAACAAGTGATTCAGGAACCCCTTCTTCCCTCAAAGTTTGGAGATTTAACCCTGAAACCTTTGCAAAGTCACAAAGAATACCCGAATAGCGAACAACGGTTTTCATGAACTTGTGCTGAGACTGAAACATGTTGCTGAAGTAACCAAAACAGGGAATTATCTCTCTCTTCAAGCTTCTGCAGAGGATAATAGGGAAGTTACTTATGATGTTGCGTATGTCGGAGTCAGAAAACCCTTTGGACTTCAAAAATTCGATCCTTTGATACAAATGTTTGTTGGGATTGGTTCGAAGGATATCTGGGACGCTTCGAACGATTCTTAGGGCCTTGGTTTGCGAGAAACCTAGGGTTTTGAAGAACTCGATCACGGTGTCAGGTTTTTCGTGCGTTTCGAAATTCATGTGTTTGGAAAGCGATTCGGCGCGGTGCGGGGAAAATCCACAAGTCTCGATGAGGTATGAGGCTGTAAAAGAGTTTTGTTTTGAATGGGTGCAGAGGAATTTCGGAGAAAGCCATGGCCATGGGTGGTAAACCAGTTTTGGAGAAACGCTCCTGCTTAGAAATTTTAACATGGAAAAGGGTGTGAGAAAATGGAGTCGAGTGACATCACCAATTTGGGAACACTAACATGTGCTGTTGGGATTGCATTCTGCAGGAAACCCTAAACCATTTCCCCCCTTTCTTCTGGTTCGTGATTAGGGTTTTAGATCACAAGTACTAGAAAGCACAGCCGTTCCAGGCGGGGTTGAGCTAAAACGACGTCGTGGTCTAGAATTGAGCAGCGGGTTACTGTGTCCTGTTCACGCTTCTCTGCGAATTAATTTAATTGTTAAAATTATTAAAAATTAGACATTTTAATTTCTAAAGTTATAAAAAATGTCGTATAAAAAGGAAAATGTTTTTCATTATTTTCTTTTGAAATAAAATTACATCATTTAATATTAATAATATGAGTAGTACGTTGACGCTTTGAAACTAAACTTATCACAGTTAAAATGTTATTAGACAAATTTGACAGAGATTAGTGGAAGAGGTTGATTTTTTATATATATAATTTTAGAAATTTAAATTCTTTATCATAGTTTCAAAAATTGAATTGATGGGTACTTATAATTTTAAAAGTAAAATAATTTATTTACGACAGTTTGATGGGCTAAATTCTTTTAATAGTTTGTTGATAAGTCCATGTAAATTTAAGAATTAAAATATCATTTATAATCTCAAAAATAATCCTTTTTCATAATTTTAAAAATTAAATCGATGAATACGTAAAATTTTAAGGAATAAAATCACATTATTTCTTCTTTTGTAATTCAGAACGAATTTTACACATAAACATGTAAACTGTTGTTAAGATTAATTTAATTACTATTGTTAATGATTTAAAATTAAGTTTATTAAAATATAAAAAAGAAGGGTGCAGTTTTCATAGGAGAGCATGTTTCTAACCGAGATTAGCATATAAGAAATGCTTCAAGTCATAGAATGCAAGGAATAGACAATGATTAACTCAAATGGTACAGGAATAAGCTTATTGTGGTATAAGACATAAGAAAAAATCATTGCGTAGTCAGAACTAAATCTAGACATGTTACAAAAATGCATATGTGTGACTTATTTATTTGTGAGACCTCTATTGTGACTATTCAAAATTTTCTGAAGACTTGCCTAGTAAGTGTTCAACACAAAGCCAAAACCAACCCAAGGCATCATTTCCACACCTTTGCTACCAAAACTAGCCTTTCTTTAAAACATTTGCTTGTCAATGCAGATTTTTCCAGCCTAAACAGGAATGGGGTTTGGTTTATTCTTTGACTCTATCTCCTCAAACTCCACCCAAGCCATCTGATTGCATTGCCTGCGTGTGTTTTGGATGTGAATAAAATACTATCATAGCAAGGCTCCTAATACTCCATCAGCAAGGTACTGTGTATTAATCAAAATAAAATAAACAAGGTAGAATGTAAATTTTAATCATGCCCGGTTTATTACAAATACCAACCCCCTCCTTTTCCCAGAAAAGGAAAAAGAAAACTGGCACAAATAAAAACGCTCTAAGGTGGCATTAACTATTTGAATCGCAATCTAATAACCTTAGTTATAGCTAATTCAAATTAGAAAAGTGCTAAATTATTAGTAAGGTTCTGTTTCATATTTGAAAGATCAAAGGCATTATCTGACCCAATTAACAATTACATACAACGTATTGCAATACTTAAGTCAGCAAACGCACTTCATCGTATGGCAAACCCCGGGTAAAAACATTTCAAGGTTTAATATTACCATTGTGAAAAGATAATTATCAAAAGCAGCAAGTATATGATATAATCTTTCTTTCTTTCTTTCCCAGGAGAAAAAAGAGAAGCACTGCACCGTGTACAATCGATAGAGCACCACTCAACCTCAACCAACAAAATACTATACACACCTTGCAATGGAAGATCCAAAAAGTGCAAAGCCAAAAGACCATCTGAAATGCAATCATCCCGTCAAACCTGAAAATTAGACTAAACTTTCAATTTAGTCCTTGAAATTGTTAACATTCAACATTTAATTTATAAAATTGTAAAATATTTATGAGTTCTTAATTTTTGTCTTTATCAATTGCTTTAATCTTTTGAATAACACATTATCAACACACAATATCTATAGAACGTTAATATATCATGTTAAGTAATAAGTATGAATGTTGAGATGATAAAAAAAGATGTCATTTTACTATTCAATTAATTGTGTCCTTATTTTGTATTTTACGTTTACATTTTAAAAAAAAACAAACACACAAGCAGATTATCATGCCTCTTGGTTATAAAGGAATTTGTGTTTCGAATCATGAATTTGTAGTGTGTGATTAGTTGTTTGTGTTCTCAACATCTACAGTAATTTTTACTAAAATTTTATTATGGAAAAATAGCTAGAAATAATTGATATGAAAGTAAAGAGGGGTAATATAAACTGCGTTTTCTTTTTGTGTTTGTGATATTAGCTTTTTGGTTTGTTATATATTTGCTTCTATTCTTAGAAAATACTGCATTTTGTATGCTGTAATTTGAAATAGTTTCGTGGATCCGGTGTTTATTATCGTAGGTTAAGGATGCTTTGGGTATTGATTATTGAAGTTGTGAGGCTATAATTGCAATTATTTGCTATCAAGGTTGGACTATTGTGTCCACTAGTGCTAGAGTTTTTATTTTTCTCGCCTTTTCTTATCATGTATTTCATTTTGTATTGATATTAAATAGATGCTAATTGATGGAGTTTAATTTAATGAATGATACCAATAATGTTTTTTTTTTTTAACAGTTAATAGAGACCTAAAATATGAAAGAAAAAAAAAACTCAAATTGGTTTGTAGGTTGTAGAGTAGTGTAGTAGTATGATTTATTTGACTTGACTGTTTTATTTTGGTTTTATTAATTTGACTACTTATATTGGTAAGGGGTAAGGCTACGAGTACTTGACTATTTTTGTTTTGGGATGCATGCTAGAGCAATTTTATTGCTATATATTTCAAAGAATGACAAGGTTGACATTAATTTAGTTTCTAAAAGATAGTTGACACAAATTTAATCCTTGAAAAACAAGTTAGAAAGTGACATTACATTGGTATTTCGGTCACAACTCTTTAGCAAGTTTTGCATGACAATTGACATGGCAACTGCATGTTTATGCCACCTTGGCATCTATGTGGATATCTCCGTCAACAAATTCATTCTCTAAAATTAAGACTTCAACACAATTTCCTTTGTCAAAAGTCAAGAAAAATAGTAAAAACTCAAAATTATAAGGCTTATGACTTCTATTTTGTGATCAGTTTTGGCTCTTGAGACTTGCATTTTTGTTCGGGCAAAGCTATAGGATGGGGTTTTATAGTAGAGAAAGGAATGAACTATGCGGGAGTGAATTGAGTTTTTAGTCCATGTAATCCTTGTCACAAGGAATTGAAGATTAGAAGGTCAATTATGAGTGGTGACAGCTTTGGCTAGGTATATGAGATTTTAGCTCCTTTACAAGTGTTTGCCATTAGAAAGAACTTAGAAGGTTTGGTTCAAGTAGGAAAGGAGAGAAGTTGAATTGGGAGATGAAAAAGACGTTTACATGAAAAATTGATGTCATCTTATTTTTAGGGACTAAACAGATGTCAAAACAATGTCATTTTTTTTTACTATCTCAACGTTTATACTTGTCACTTATCATGTCAGTGTTACTTTACTATCCGCTAATTATGTGTTTCACTGAACTAAAATAATAGATAAAGACAAAAATTAAAAACTAATGTGTACTTTTGAAAATATCAAGACCTAAAATGACCAATGCTAACATTCTTCAGGACTAACTTGAAAGTTTTGTCCCAAAAATTGTGCAATAGCGAGGCTACACGATACCTTACATGACTATTATTTTGATATCCTTAGATTGTGTTTAAATAAAATAATTTATAATTACTATATTGTATATATTTGATTTTATATTTTTTAAAATTTCCCGTCAAAACACTACTAGTTTTCGACTACGAGATACCGACATTATTCTTTAACAAGAACCAAGGATTAAGGATAAAAAATGAGGTCTTATTGTTTGACTTCAGTGAATTTCATAACTTGGATAGGTGTTTTAATAAAGCTTCACAGTTCATGTTGCAATATCTGCTATTTTCATCCTCTTTCGACAAACATAATCAACAAAATCATTGCATCATACAATCATTTGAAAACTAACTTTAAAATGGCAGCATATGCAACTATAATAAGACTGCAAGAGAGAAAACCAACGCTGAGTTTGACCTGAATTGAAGGATGGAAACAATGAATATAAAATGCAACAAAGAACATGAAGATCAGGGAGTAGGCACTAAAATTATCACCCTGCAAGACTCAATTTAGCCTTGTACAACTTCAATAACTTATCAGCTTCCTTCTCATGACGATAGATAAACCTATCCAAGAAGTACTTTTCATCATACCTAAAAATTCTACCCAGGTTCAACTTTGTCACCAGACCCTTTGACTTCAAAACAAGAACAACAGAACCCCTTGGAATGATCCGTTTCACCAAACTCATAGACAACACGACCGGATACTTTGCAATATCGGAAACCTGAAAACCCAACTTGTTCACCAGAAAATCCATGGCATCCTCAATCTTACTTTCAGAAATGGACATACAGAAAGGGTGACCTCTAAATGCCACTGCAATATCATCGTCACTCCAACCCCACTTTCTATAAACACCCTCTTTCCTTGCCCACGTGGATCTGCTCAAACACACCTTTATATGAACAGCTATAACAAATTGCAACCTCAAAGGGTTAAACCCCAAATCCTGAACTTCTTGCAGTAACCCCTTAAACCTATTAGAGGGTACTTTCAATGTGCGTGGAAAGTACTCTACGAATCTAATAATAATTGATTCAGGAACTCCTTCATCCTTCAGATATTGGATATTTAAAGCAGAACACTTAGCAAGGTTACAGAGAATACCGGAATAGCGAACAACGGTTTTCATGAACTTGTGCTGAGATTCAAACATGTTGTTGAAGAAATCAAAACAGGGAATTATCTCTCCCTTCAAGCCTGCACGGAGGATTGAAGGGTACCCGGTTATGATGCAGCGTATGTCAGAGTCAGAAAACCCTTTGGACTTCAAAAAATCGATTTTTTGCTGCAAAATTTTGTTGGGATCGGTTCGAAGCATTTCTGGGACGGATCGAATGATTTTTAAGGTATTGGTTTGCGAGAAACCGAGGTTGTTCAAGAACTGGATCACGGTGTCTGGTTTTTCCCGCGTTTTGAAATTCATGCGTTTGGAAAGCGATTCAGCACGGTGTGGGGGAAACCCACAAATGTCGATGAGGTATGAGATTGTAAAAGACTTTTCTTTCGAATGGGTGCCGATGAATTTCAGAGAAAACCATAGCCATGGGTGGTTTTGGGAGAAAACCGGTTTTGGATAAGTGTTCCTGCTGAGAAATTTGAACATGGGAAAAGGGTGTGAAGAATGGAATCAAATGAAATCAACAATTTGGGAACACTATCATGTGGGTTGAGATTGCATTATGCAGTAAATCCTAAACCCCCTTCTCCTAGTTCGTGATTAGGGTTTTAGCTCACAAGTACTATAAACGCCCAACGTTTCCAGCCGGTTTGAGCTAAAACGACATCGTGCTGTAGAATTGAGCAATGAATACGCGCTGCTGTCTGTAATTGAAAGAAGAGAAGTGTGTTTTTGTAATTTCATTGAGAGCCGATAAATAAATAAGGAGATCTATATAAATAAAGAAATGTTAAAAAATATGTTTTTAATATTTTTTTAAAAGAAAAAAAAAGTTATATTTGCTTGCAGTCTGATTTTGCCAAGATATTACGAGGTGTAATTTTTACTTTAAATAAATAAATATTGCTTTATTAATTTTCAATTTACGATCAGAATGGGTGATAATCAGTTGGAAAATTGTAGGATTCTTGAAGAATAATTTAAATAATAAGTTCGTCAGTGATCAAAATTGTTGCACATTCAGAAATATAGTAACAAAAAAAATCAATTTTATTGAATCACAAAACGATACTGAACTGTGTTATTGATCGATGCCATAGACCATGTACATACTCTAATCCTCAAATAAATAAATAAACAACCATGTATATAATAATAATAATAATAAACGAAGCAGCTTCGGTGTTCAATTATGGATTTTCTTTCTTTTGTGTAAAGACTTTTTTATTATTTTTATTTACATTAGGTAGTGTTTCGTTATCTCTCCTGTAAAAGTTTTGTACTAATCTGAGAGGGGAAAAAACTATAAAACTTAAAATCTTTTAAGAGAATCACATGACTTTAAATCTTGTATCTGATTTTAGTTTTGTTATATTCAATATTCAAAATCTAAATTATATTTAAATTTAAGATACACGCTTACTTTTTCTATGTATCTATTGTGAACTATTATAATGCTCCTGTAGTTTAGCATTTTCATCTTTGTAAATATTATTGATCTTTTTAATCTACGCTCTTCTGACAAAAAAAAAATCATCTATAATATTCAATACAAGAAGTAAAAAAAGGTTGATCCCATCAGCGAAACCGTTTCGTTCTTTCAAAGGACGAAGAGGGTCTTCTCGCATTTTAGTAGTACTTTATAGTCACTTCATAATTTACAATCTAGCATCAGTTTTGGCATGTACTTCCACATATCATAGGCTATAGCCACACACTGCGTCAAACATCAAGGCATATAACAGAACTAGAATGTACGTGTGCAAACTGCAAATTATAAAGTGGGTTGACTTTCAATCAAAACCAGAGCTTTGTTTTATAATTATCAGTTTTACAAAACTATAAATAAATATAGTATCAACAAAAACTAGGAATAGAATAAAAAATATAAAAAAATATTAAAATAAAATCAAAATAAAGGAGGGTTGAAAAAAATGTGTTTTATCTGATCCAAATTGAGTGTTCACAGTAACAATTCACGATGATTCCCTCCACCATCACATTATGAAAGAAACTAAATTTAAAAAAAAAAAAAAAAAAAAGATTATGGTATATGTTGGAGCTCATTGGAAAGGTCAATTGAATCAAAAGTTCCAGCACAACTTTGCATCTGCGACTCAATGTTAGTTGTAACTAGCAAATTTGGGTGAGGAAAAAAACTGGCTAAAAAACTTTTTGTTCCAATCTTCTATTTCAAAAATCAGCTAGTCCAAATCAGATCAGAATTTAAACTTCTGTTTAGGCTTTTTCATCACAGCACAGCCAGGGTCCTCAACATTCTGCAGCAAAACAAGCCTAGTTACTTAAATTGTTAAAATCTCTAAGAAAATAACCAGTCACATAAAAAAATAATAACCTTTCGCTTTTTGTTTTTCTTTTTTTCTTTCTTCTTCTTTTTCTTCTTTTTGCGTTCCTTTACATCAGACGGTTCATTCTGCTCTTCTTCACTAGATTCCTATCAAGATTAGAAACAACTCAGAGAATTTGAAAAGGGCAGATATATCAACAACTGTCCAGACACCATTAACAGTAAGCAAGTACCTTAGAATTAGAGTCACCAAAGGAATCCACATGCCGAATACTTCTTTCTGAATTAGAAGTACCACCTAAAGTTGCGGGGAATCATGAAAGAATACACTTAACGACTGTCTCACAAATTCAATTAAAGATATGGATAAAGAAACTAAAATAAATCAAACAGAAAAGCTCATGCCTAACATTGTTGAAAGCCAAAAGGAAGACATAAGGCTTAAAAAATAATATGTGCATGTTGTGGCTCTAATCTGGTGCACTTTCGGTTTACCTCCTCATGCATGTGCGCGAGTGTTTTGGACTTGAAAAAATGATTTTTCTAATATGTCAAGGGCACACAATAAAATCTATATATAGTAATTTTTTATTAAAATCACAAGATATCACAGAATCTAATGCTATGATTTTCAATAAAAAAAACTTTTTGTTTGTTGATTTCTTATTGTGTGTCCTTGAGACATATTAGAAAAACCTTTGAAAAAAATACTCTCATAATTACTAGCTCCTTGAGAAAGCTAGAGTGTTAATCATCGCCAGTTGATGTCTATCGGTAAATTCTATTTCTACTAAAGTAATTCCTCCTCCAGTCGATATATTTGGTTAAATAGTGGAAGAAAACCACTATTTTTTTTTTGCTAAACATGACCAAGAAGATAAATATTATATGCATCAAAGTCACAGCAAAAGCACACATTTGATGCAAATAACAGCAGTGATGAAACTTGAATTGCTCATATCATCAAGTAATATATAAGTAATCAAATAGTACAAAAATAAATTCAAAATAAATAATCTACTACACACAGAGTCTTTCAAAATAGGAGAGAGAGAGAGAGTTGAATGTGTTACTTGAATAGACAGTTTGTTTGGCATTATTGACAGCAAGTTGAAGGAAATCAGGGTTAATAGATGTTAATCCATTAGGGTCCTTCAGCTTCCTCTCCAGAAACTTTGCCAAAGCTGCTGCTTTATTCGTTGCTAAGGGTCCACCGGGATGAGCTAACCTGTCATCAGAATCCACGAATCCAAAATTCAAATCATACCCACTAAAATTGATGGGATGAGAAAGCAAACTGTAAACTCAAAATTAAAAATTTAATCATGGGGATAGTAGTGAAGTGTGATATTGAAGAAGAAAAAAACCCTAAAAAGAGGAAGAAGAGAACCTGGGTTTGGAATTGGAATGTGAAGGGCGGGGAAGAGGGGCGAATTTGCTTCCGCGAAGTGCGCGTCTTTCATCTTCTGTCAGAGTTTCGATTTCTTTCGCCATTTCGATTTTTGGGAAAAATCTCCGATGTGTGCGTCTTTTCCTTCAAATCCCAATTACCCTTTCTTTCTATGTTCAATTTAATTTGTTGAACATTCAAATAAATATTTAATTAAATTATTTTTATTAACGTGATATAAAGTTTATAATCTTTGAGTTTATTTTTAAAAAATTACAAATATTTTTTCAATTTAATAAACTAAATTAGAACAATACCCACGTGCTTTTCACATGGAAAGAAAACCAATAAAATAATAATTCTAAGATATACATTTAAAGAAAGAGCAATCAATGATTGAAAAATAATTTTATTATATTTTTATCACTCAATTATTTTAAATTTAGAGGCATAACATAAAACTTAATTAGTTTACACTAGTCTCTAACTGTTGAGTTGCTTTGATTGTTAATTCTATTGAATTTCACCAAAATGTTGATTCATGATCATGTTGCTGCGATTTTTTTTTTTATTTCATATTTTCAATTACTTTCATGTTGGAGTATTATTAATATAATTCTTCAATATATTAATTACGATTAGTTAAATTTTTTATTAAAAATATAAAATTTTAAATAATACTTGTTAAATAAAAAAAAGATTTATATAATTTTATAATTTTTAATAAATTTCAAATAATAGTAAATAATGTGTTAATATTAATGCAAAAAAATTTAATGTAATTTATAAAAAAAAATCAAAAGTGTGTTAATAGTTTAGACTCATCCTAGTGCTATTTTATTTACATATCAAATAAATATATTAATATAAAAAATTAATGTAAATTTTAATAATATTTTTCTTTTTTAAGATCATATATAACTTCCATTAGAATTATGTTTTCTAGTTGAGTAATACTATTATGAGTAATAAAGTTCTATCTTCAAATATTTTATATAATTGTATTTCCTAAAATTGAAGTCAAAAGTGCATTAAATGTCTATTATTTTTATTATTTTATATTTGTCCACCTTTTTTTTTCATTTATATGTTATATTAAAAATTTGAGTCAACATTCTTCAACATGAAAATATTTTTCATTATTTTACTTTGTCTTTATAATATATAATTTTACAACTCTTTTCGATCCTTTTTATAAAAAATAAAATAAAATATTTTTTTATTTCTTATTATAAAAAATAAATAATAGATTCAAAATGTATTAATTGATAAAAAAAAATTTATATCTTTTTTTATTAATATCTTTAAATATACAAATTACTAACTATACTATTTAATATCATGAATATTTTTAGAATAAAATTTATATTTATAAAAAATATAATACTTAATTATTTTCCTTGATTTTAATAATTTAATTTTTTATTTTTTATAAAAAAAACTGGAAAGAGTATTATTTATATATATATATATATATATATATATATATATATATATAGAAAGAGAGAGAGAGAGAGAAAAAAAATAAATGTAAAGATATTTTTTAATTTATATTTTTAAAAATTTATGTAAATTAAAAATGCCTATTCAATTCACCCTATACTTGATATTTATTACTTAAATTATATTTTAAAATTTTTCCAATTCATCACCAAACTCGTAATAATGCATGTTTGATTAAATTTTAATAGAATTAATTTTTAGAAAAAACTGATTCCAAATCATTGAACGAGATTCAGATGTGTACTAAAATTTGCCATGAAACGTGCGTTTTCCCATCATAAATTGCAATAAATAAATAAATAAATTCTAACTTCAATACAAATAAAACGTAATTTTCATTTGTGGTTAGGTTGGAGATAACAACTAAGGATCAAGGATTGTTAACCATCAAATATGAAACAACAGTATCTCAACCTTCATCCTCATTTTTTTTCCCTTCAAACTTTGTATCTTCACAGCAGGGAATGGTTACAGAAATTGTGCTTCCCCACCTTGCTGGTATCTATATGAGGTGCACAATACATTTGAAGACTAATACGAATGGGGAGAGATGAATAAATTTTGAGCAATCAAATACTCTGAATTTACAGGCCTCTTTCTTTAGCCTAAAATCTTAAAATGAGGCAACAAAGCAAGAGGCCAATCCAATTGTATTACAATGAAATGAGATAAAATCACCGTGTAAAAAGCACTGAAATCAATCTCCTTTGAATGGCTGGACAAGTGATGGTGGGCTAATTATATGTTTAACCATTGTAAATACCATTTTACTTCTCCATTCACCAATCCAAACTAACCGCCAAAGAAGAACTTGAATATGTCACTCAATGAAACAATGCCTTCTACACGCTTGCTGCCAGCTTCCACAATAACAAGCCGCCTCACACCTGGATCCAGTATTAGACAGCATACAAGTTTCAGCATCACAATCTTTTAAAATGAAACCAATACATATCTAGAAAAACTAAAGCTTTCTGCTAAATCAAATTAACAGAAAGCATAGAAACAAACCGAATAGCACACTAGTAACTTCTAGGCCACAACTTGAACACATAACTCTTCATCGTATATTGACATTTCATCCACTTGGTACCCAACTCTATTACCAAAATCTCAAGAAATAGGCAAATAGCTTATGCTATCGGAAAAAAAAATGAAAATTCTTATTACAAACTTAAAGACTAGCCTTAGATCCACTAAGCAACTTCTTATTTTAAACGAGTATTTAGTCAATTTTCATTCAGTTTTTGAAGTCTAAAAGGAGAAAACAAAATGCCAGGCCACTAGGGTTAACACTGCTTGTTACAAACGTACCTCCCTCCAAGCTTGGTACGATATCTTAAATGCTACGTCAATAATCTATAAATCATTGGGGATAAATTAAAACACTGCAATCTTCAGTATAACTGTAGGAAACCATGGGAGAGTTGCCAGAAGAAGGAAAACTAGCCCAAGGGCAAAGGTCACAGGGAATTGGAATCACATTGTCAAGCATGGTACACAAAAATAACATAACTCTGGTATATACAGTAAAATACTTCTCTACTCTCCAGTCTCCACACAATAAAAAATTAGGGGTACAAGTCTACAAAATAAGATATTGCTTTCAATCAATATCGGAATATATAAAAGAATGTTAACATGAACTGATGGCTAACCCAGGAAAAAACGAAAAGAAAATCTACAGAAGTAACCTTGAGTGAACAATCTGCCCATCACATAGTTTACATAGAAAAGGAAACTGAAAGCCATGCTTCATAAAAAAAAATTAAGGAAAGCAACCGCACCTGGATTTGCCAGACGTTCCATCACTTTATGCAGAGGATCAGAACCCAAACACATCTGACATCTTTGACTTCTAAGCTCATAGGGACTATATGCATCCTGGCCCAACTGCAAAGCCTGGAGAATAACACATGCAAATCAAACATCGATCACAATAAGAAAAGCACTAAAAAAAGGACCTCCATATTAATATAAAAGATACAGAGTGCAACCTTAGCTTAGACTAACTGACAAGGACACTGACATTTATATTGCTGTTTAAAATGATTTTTTTTTTCCAAAAAGAAACAATCTCAATCAACATCAATAAAGACAAGAAGAAATGAAAAAAAAAGAATGCAAGAATCACATAAATATTGACACTTGGGCATTTAAGTTGCAAGTTTTAAAAAAAAAGCCATCAACAGCGACCAATGAAAGCAGCAACCCCATCCTAGTCTTAAAAATGCGGCAAACAAAACCATTTCTAAACATTACGAAGGAACAAGAAATCTTCAGGAAATTCATAGTAATACAAATGAATAACATAAGCACTAATAACAAATTCACTGGCTTCAGTCAAAATGAGAGCATGTCACAAAACAGTTAATTCTCATAGTTTTGCCTGCATTTAAAGAAAAATTGTTGAATTTCTGGTCCACCTACTGTAGGTAAGCAGCTGTTCATTTAGTTTTTGCCAACAAGAAAACTACATGCACCACTCAGTGTGGACTAAAAGTGAGGGCTCAGTATAATCGGCAGGTCTTAAGTTCAAACCTCCCAGCTGCAATCTACCAAAAAGACATGCTGCCAAAACATAGTCCACGATATCAGCTCATCAGTCATGATGGAAGCTTTCAAACTATTGGCACTAACCACCATAAAGCTAAAAGATTGACCTAGATTTCTTATATTTCTAGTTCCTCTACCTAACCATTGATAGCAATTATAACTTACGATTCATTAGAGGTTGTCTACTTTTACCAACACCTAAAATTAAGCCATAAGCTTCAACAGAAAAATGCAGGCCAATAAGGAAGTCAACTCTTCATTGGCAAAAGTGCATATATATAGATATGTGTGTGTGTGTGTGTCTACACACACACACATATTAAAAAATGTTAAAATCAATCCTTCCTACTGATTTTAAACATCCAAAATCATTCTTATTGAAAAAGTATTTTGTTACATCAGAAATGTGTGAGTGCTATAAATATTCTTTCTCAATAAAAGTTTCTACTTTTAAATGTTAAATTCAGTCCTAAAGACTAATGCTAACAAAACTCACACCACATACAGATGCACATTACCTTTCCACCTCAAAAAGCAGAATGCCTCAACTTGGCATCAATAACATTAATATACGAAGAAAATGAGAAAATCAAACCTCACATCATCTGAACACTCCTTCTAGTCCTATTTAAAAGACACCTTTTAGAAAGTTTTAGTGGTCCTTATTGTAAGTCACTATAATTCTTATGAAGTATTGATTATTTTTTCATTATTTATTGTTAATAATTTGAGTTCAGAGAAACTTAAACTAAAACCAACAAAGGTAAATGTTAATAGTAAAATTAAGTTGAATGATATTAAATGAAGATAAAATTAGCATATTTGTGCCATTTAAAAAAAAATAATTAACTTTAACTACGTTTCCTAAGGTGTGTCTATTGTCATTCCTATTTAAGTTATTTCTGTCTAAAATACCTTTTTTTTTCTCTCTCTAATAACCATATTAACAATAGGGATATTTTACACCATAAAAGATTTAAATAGGAGTGACAATAGACACGCTTTTTATAAATCTATGTAATTCAGTTAAAGTTATCTTATAAAATGACTAAGGGTAAATAAGAATCTATATATCATCAGTAATTCAATATGAATGTTTGTTGTGTGTCATCCACTGTAAGCATTCAACAGCCAATAATCAAGAAAAAGAAACATATGTTAAAAACTAATTGAACATACCAGACTGAATTATTTTAAGAATAAACGAAATATATTTCAACAATATCAAAACACTTTTTGGTTCTGCATGATGCCAAACCAAACATGATTTTATAAAGGAAATTTTATCAGAGAAAAAAGTGCTAAATAAATCTCCTGATTCTGAAGATAATCCTCAGTTAACCCCTAGGCTAGTAGGCTCGACAAACAGCTCAATCAAATTCATGAGGAGATGAAATCAAAATATATTTGTATTTTTTTGTTTTCAAAACATAGATTGTCAGCAGAAGTTTATTGGTTTGCATAAATCAGAACACTTACCTGATGAACAGTCATTTCATCAAGATTAATATGTGTATATGCTCTGTCCTTCGCCAAAGCCGTTATATCACTATCAACAAAGAAGAGCAGGGTAGAAATGTGAGAATCTTATAAAACCCACTGCAAAGATTGAGATGCTAAAAGGACAATTTAATGCTTGAACCACAGATTGAGACTGTATAGTATCTCAAACAAAGTATCTTTAAGTATAATAATTATAAGGACATAAAACACAACAGACCTCCGACAATATATATCCAATAATGAGTCGTTATCGTCAACTATTGGTATTGAACTTACTTGGGCTGCAAAAGCAAAGGAAAGAAGTAATGTATGTAAAATTAAACTCATGTCCAAAGCAAAAAATCTTTTGTTAATTTGCATGTTGACGCATAAAAAAAAAAAAGAAGGTATCACTCCATAAAATTTATGTTTTCTTTTGATGATTAATTATACATCAACTTCCTTCTAAATACGAGACAGTGCTCTCTATCATCAGCCTAATACCTCAAAAATATAATAGGATACCAATTTCTTCATTCTTTCTCTCTGTTGCTTTTCTTTTCGATATAGTATGTTCAAGGTCAGACAAAAAAGTTCACACCTTGAACTAATAAATTTAGGGCTGAAGCAAGAGAAGCAGATGGTCTCAACATTGCTAGAGGCTGCCGATTTGATTCCCCAATTCTGGGCACCCACGTGCCCACAGGTATCGCACTGATTGGAAGTTGAAGTACAGGCAATGAATTAGAACAATGCCTGAAATACCTACAAATGCCTGAAAATCAATTTGGTGAGGATCAAGCACACGTAATAACATTATAAAGAAAGCTCTCATTCAATCTCACATTTTAGTATTCCTGAAAGTGAAGCAAGGTGTAGTAACTGTGGAAATGAACCATCTTCAGAAGATGAATGGATAACAGGAACAGTTGAAACCTCCTTTTGCAAGATCTTCATGGCAATGTCTTTCAGATTATCATATGGCCCTGCCTGCATCATAAAAGAATATGCAAAAGGATGTCTGACATAGTGAGCTAATAGAAAAGTGGGCCAATGAAATAGACAGGTAACTTTAATCAAAGCATACAATGATAATCAGTTAAAAACTATTTTTATGATTGGGAACACATTTATACAAGCCAAGGCCAATGTAGATTTATGGGAAGATTGTAAAAGACAACTCTCTATGTCTAGAAAAGTAACATTCAAGATCCTCTGCCTTATGTTCCATGCATTGAAAGTCAATAGACATTTGGTATTCAAAACAGATTGAATTTAACTTAATGATTTAAAAAAAAAGAAGTAAACAGGAATAATGAAGAAGCAACAGCCTTTTATTCATCTTTCTTTGACAAGGATAATGGCCAAAGCTAAGTAAATATATATGTCAACTTCTTCTCAATCTGAAATAACAACAAAAGAAAATGGGATGGGCAGTATAGAGTAAACTAGTAATAGTAATACTAGACAATTTGAAATCCCAGTATGTTGCTAATATATACCCAGTCAACATCATAGCATCATTACAGTGGCTTTTAAATTTAGAGAAACAAGTATCCTTCCATTTACATATGACACAATATGGCATATGATCCCTAACTGCTCTGCAAAAGGTTCCCAAAATATACTTATTTAGATAAAGTTGACAATAATTTTAAAAAGGTATAAAAGACACTCATTTCCCTTAGCTGTGCAGACATGCATTCCTGTTTTCTAATATCGGCACATAAGTCAAGGCAAGAGATATCCTGTGTAAGCTTCAAAATGATCTTCCGAAATAGACCTCTTTGTGATTTCTTTTTTATTTATTCATGCTAGTAGCAGACACTATGCTACATCTAACCCCATTAACCTGTGTAACCCAGAGATAGAAATTAAAAAATAAAAATATATACAAACACACAAAATGATAATTAACTCAATCTGCTCATTATACGCATAGTATACAAGCATCTTCATGAATATATTACAAACTATATCTCCAAGTAGTAAAAAATATGAGCCTTATGGGATAATAAAGCCATATAAAAACACATACATAGATGAATCGTCTTGAAAAGGCACTTCCATGACCATTGTTTTGTCTATTTAGATATGACTTTCCTTCTTTCCAAGCTGATATGGTATGTGTTTCAAGCTCCTCTTCTGTCAGATTGGACCCACGATTCCCCAGCTGAAAATAGGACGATTAAAAGTTTCAAAAAGCATTGAAAACTACACACACATGAGAAAAGCTTTCTATTCAGAAATCATGCCAATACAAAGATAAATCTTAAACTAATGATACCTCTATTAAAATAAAAATAAAATATGAAGTACACACCTCTCTTAAAATTAAAATAAAATCCAAAGCGCTAAGAACACCAACAAATTGCCCCTTGCAGAAGTCCCAAAGTGGAGCCATGTAAATTCCCTGTAAATTATCCAGATAAAAAAAAAATTGCATATACAAACTTGTAATCAGCGATTGATGTAGACATGATAACACTGAAACTAAGAAAGCTATTATATATTATGGAATAAGGAAAAGACTTTAAAAATCATTGTCAAATCAAAGCTTCTGAAACAACTGGTTAAATTCCAGAGAATAATTCAAAAGCATGAGCAAGAGTCATTTCTTACCTATCTCCCAGAGTAAAGTCATGTAAAATGATATGACAGTAATTTAACATGTTTCAGCAAAATTATTCAATATGCTAAAAGGACTCTGGAAATTTCAATTTCATCTAAGAAAAAAAAAGAGCAACCTGCTCATGCAGTATATGAAATGCCTGTTTCACTGGCAGATCAACATCCAAAGCAACAACCTGTGGCCAGGAGTAGTAAATTAGTATATTCAATTTTGAGTCGGCGATCTGTAAATTTGATGAAGAAAATCAGGAATCCAATATAAAGGGTCAAGGAAAAACTTCCAAACCTTGCCTGACTCAGGAAGCAATTCGTAAGCTGTGTGCGTAGACAGAAACGCAGAAATACGCTGACAGGAGATCTGTAGATCAGCACCTGATATACTGGGCAGCACCTCACCCAATGTACCATCAGTCAATCGAACCTGCTTTATAAGTAAACAGCATATTATAGTTAATGTCCGAACAATTAAATTTCAGATACAAGTAAACAATAATATAATTTCAGGCATGAACAGAAATCATATTATAAGATGCAACGGAACAAATATGTGCAACTTGATATCGTAAGTTACCAGGGTTATGAGTTACAACAATAAGACCATCACAAAGATTATATTTAATTTCATCCCAAAGAGAAGACTCTATAGACCTACATGGATCAATACTTCTGGATCAATGGCCTTAACAAATAACATCTAAAATAAGTATAAAGATTCTCCAGAGTCCAGAGTCTCAAGACAGATCATAGATATGACACTATTCCTTGAAATTTCATTCACAAGTTCAACATAGCCAGAAGCCATCATTCAGAGAGCAACTATGTTGCTAACAATAAACACAAATGTCAAGGTATGACTAACTCATACCATACGGCGAAAAGCCTCATTATCCACATCCATGTTATTTGCAGAAGCGATGTCTGGGGTTAAAACAGGCATGTAGTTAGGATCAGTAGCCAAGAAGACAGTGTTGACTATCCCGTACTCTCCAGGTACATGAGGTTGATGTTCATCATGCCGCCATTCTCCATCAACAAAAAACTTGAACTGCATTCAAATAACTTTACGATAAGTATCCACTACCAAGAACAAAGGCCAAAACAAAATAACATTTTTAAAAAAATAATAAAGCTAAATGATGAAACAGGAACTAGCATTTTAAAAGTCTGTAAACAACCTCAACACCATTATCCCACTTCACTTCAATATCAAGATGATTTTATGTTAAACCTTGCATTTTATATATTTGGCTATTTAACAGTAATATATGTTCAGTCAGTATTATGTTGAAGTGCTTTGCCACCAAAGCATCTCTCTAAATAACTCCCAATAAAATTTACCTGTTCCACAAAACCGGAAAACCGCAAATACAATGTAGAGAGACTGAGAAACTTTTACTCAATTGTCATCAAATACCTAACAAAATACTGGTCTTTTACCTTACTAAGATCCCAAAACCAAAAATGCACACACCAGTTAGTTTGAATAAACTTCTCAACAAGTAAAAAGTACTTATGGAGTTATGGGACAAGTATATAAGAAGGTAAAATTACTTGAACTTCTCTCAGAAGTTAATTAAGTTATGCACCTCAGCTTTTGAAGAAGTTAGATGAAAGAGCTTATAAAAAAGCAGAGGTGCACAAATTTATTTTACCGTATGTTAATTTTACTTCGTTAGTTTCTTCTCCTATACATGCTTATCGAGTAGCTTATTCAAACAGAGCCTAAGCCAGTAACATAATCATAAACTGACCTGATGGTAACCAGGGGGCAAATTATAAATAACTTGAAACACAGTTGGGCAACCTTCCACTGGCGACATTGGTAGAAGCTCAGTCCACCTTGCAGACAAAATTTACATTAAAAGGAAAAAGAAGAGACATAAGCAACACTAAACTAGAGCATTCTAGCAAAATGAGAATAAGATGTTCATAATGTAGCAATTAACAAAATATGCACCGTGTGAAAGAACCACAGAGAAATACACTCCTTCCTCCATATGGCCACACAAAACGCATGGGAATTAACACTGTCCCTGCAACACCACCCGCATCCCTTGCAGAATCCATGCTGTGACTGAACATTCGACCTCGAATTGAGAGTGCTACACTGAGAATACCCTCCACGCACCACTCTTCATCGCAGCTAGTTAAGCTCTCAAGTTGCAAATTCGAGTAAATGTCGCACCAATTCAATGCACTACGAAGCTCAGATTTGAAAGAACAAAAAAGAATCCACCCCAAATCAAAAACCCACTTGGAAAAAAGGAAAAAGCTCAGATTATGATGCTTGATTCGACCGAAAAATCAAATACAGAATGTGCCCATTTCTCCCTGCAACAGAACCGACGAATAAATTGAAGCGGGAACAAAGATAAAACACTCCTAATTAAATTTGCATGCAACGAATCATTTACGAGCACGCACAAAACCCTAACCCTAAATTGAAGAAACCTACCAAATTCAACCTGGAAGAGCCACGAATTTGGGAAAAAAAATCTGAGAAAATCAAAGCACAGAAAGTCTCAGAGGAAAATGGAGAAAAAATCGAAACCCTATTGAAACATCAGAAACAACTTGTTTAGAAAACCAAGAGATTTATCCTTGAAGGGAAAAGCAAAACAAATAAATAAAATAAATTTAAATAAAATTCAATTAAAAAATTGGAATAGAGTCAATGAATTATTATTTTGAAGGTGCTAATTGATAAAGCGAAAATTCTGAGAGTAAGTGTAAAAATGGAAAAATAAAAGTGGAAGTTAAACTGTAAAAGGCATCACATATAAAGTGCACGTGCGGTTCTGTTATCTGATTGCGATGTGATAAAACGGTTTTTTTTTTTTTTCAAACACGTCATTTCAATTTTCGAATTTTAAAGGTAAGAAGTTTAAATTCTTTTTCTTTCAGGTGTGATCAGAGAATGTAATAACAACAGTAAGAAATAGTAAATTTTATTAAAATTATGTAATTTAATGTTATTAAACAGTAAATTTTATTAAAATTATAATATTTAATGTTATTAATATATTAAATTGCATAATTTTTTTATTATATATATTTTTTATTTTGTGTACTTTTACCTACATGTTAAAAAAATTAAAAAATATTTTTCTATTTTTCTTCATTTTATCTTTGACAAATATTTGCGAAAATGATAAAGATAATTGAACTATATATAAATATAAAACGAAGTTGAGTTTTAAACTTAAGATTAACATCAAACTAATATTTTACAGCTTAATTTGAAAAATTTTGTTTTTATTTATTTTTATATAAATTTTAATTTAGAAAAAAAAGTAAACTCATATTTATTAAAAATATAAATAAAAAAGAGGCATAAAAATAAAATTATAAAAATATATATTTATTATTAGTAAAGATTAAAAAATTAAATTAAAGAAGCAGAGTGATATAATACATATTTGTATAATATTATGACGTATTGTGAAAAAAGCTATTTAAAAATATAATAAAAATGTAAATATATTATAAATGTAATTTAGTTAGGTTTTTTTTTAATTTCACTATTAAAAATTGAAATTGAAATTAAATTTTAAAAAAATATTTTTTATTTGATTTTGGTTTAATTAATTTAAATTTAATTTTCATGTTAATTAAACAGTTTAAGTATATTTTGGTTTAATTTTAATTATTTATAATCAATTAATTCTATTTAATATATATATAAATAACTTTTTTATTAAAAAAAATACATTACTTGTTATTTCTATTTTGTTTTGGTCTAGACCTCCACTGAAAAAAGAATCTATTCAAGTCATATCAAAATTCTTTTTGATTATTATGTTTATTATAAGTAAGAAAATTTAATTTATTATTATGACTATAATAAATATAATATAAATTTAAATCACTAGTATATAATATATATATATATATATATATATATATTATTTTTACTATTAAATGAGCTTAAAAGCTTAGACTAAATAAAATTACTTAAACAATCTAAAGTTTAAGATTTTTAGTGAATTTAGGTAAAGAAAAGGAACTAAAAGAGGGGACATTTATTAAAGTATGAGATTGTTTTAATAAAATTTAGACTTAATTTAAAGAGCATATCTACACACTTATTACTTTCTTTTATCGTATGCCTAAACCTAATAAAAAAGATGTATTTTAAAATATTTTTAATAGCATTATTCAAATAAAAAGAAAGATGATTATAATTTTAAAAATTCAAAAGTTAAAATTAACTAAATGACTTTTTGTGAAGTCTAATTCAATACAGATTATTTCAATACTTTTATGTATTACAAGCTCTAAATCAACTAATAGTACCCAAAGTTCTACTTCTAACGGAGAGCAAAAAATCGAGTCTTCTATAGAATCTTGCATCAATCCTTCCATGACTTTGTCTAACTAAACTCCAACTTCCAGCTCATTCTAACATTAAGTTTTAAGTGATTTGGAAAAGGAGAAACCATCAACATTAGTATATATTTTTTATAAACACAGAATGTGATTCATTATTATCTTTAAATAAAATAATTTTACAATTTTTTAAATAAGAATTTTTTAAAATTATTTTATTTTTCATCACACACTGTGTCTTTTTTAAGGTTAAGTATTTAATTTTTATTTGAATCTTTAATTTTTTATAATTTATCCTTTATTTCTAAAAAAATATTTATCTTTAGTTTAATTTTATTAAATATAATAAAATATTTATTATTAATATTGTAAAAATTTCTTATTATTTATATATATTTTTATAATATGTACATATTTAAAGCCTAAAATTACTAGGTTGGCTTTATTTTTTACTTGTTATGGTACATTCCTGTTTGAATGGGTGAGCATGGCTCAATTTAAATTTGACATGCATGTGTCATTAATATTTGATTTCTTATTATTTATTTTTTGAATTCCATTTTCAAATAAATTCTTATTTAAATATTAAGATTTGTCCTAACACAAAAAGTAATCACAAGAAAAAAAATTATACATTTTGCACAAAAAGTAACTACGGGTAAAATATTATTACTTAATTAGTATTGAAGTATTTTTGACTTTTTTTCCCCTTTTCACATGTTTTAAGGCATATCTAAGAGAAAAATAAAATTAGGGACATAAATAATTAAAATACATTTAACAATTATCAGTTAAACCACATCAACAACATATACTCATATTTAGTCAAATATAATAGTATGGTATATTTTTTTGTGTTTTTATTTTTGGAGTAAAATATATATTGCACCTAGTTATTGTAAAATTATTAAAAATTAATGTTCATTTTTTTTTAATCGACATGAAATGCCAAATATCTCGAGGGTTGATTTTGTGCTTCATACAACTAGTGCTAACTATTATCCCTATAGCTTTTGCCTATTGTATAAAGATACCTAACTTCAAAAGTGAACACCCTTTTTTACAATTTTAAATTTTGTGGTTCTTGTTTTTTGAGTTTTCATAGATGTAATATTATTATAGTGTCAAGAACCACAAAATTTGAAATTGTAAGAAGGAGTGTTCACTTTTGAGGCACATTTATCACTTGAAAGTGTTTTGACAGACATAACATCAATAAATATTTATGTCAATGCAAAAAATGGTGTTATTATAAATTGTTTTACTTTTAATCATAATTATTAAATTCAAATTAATTGGGGAATCAACTCATCCATGTGGTATCTCCATCCATATTTGTGTATACCAAATATACTCATTGGAATCAAATATATAAAGACAACAGAGACCAAATCATATTTGTCGTTTGAAGCCTAATTGTTGTCATTCATCAACTCACGTAGATGGACATGATTATTTTCTCTCTCTTTTATTGTGGTTAGGGGTTGCCACTACATACATGAAATAATGATATGGAGGATGAGGTGGAGTTGCGATGCCAAATGTTATTAAAAGGAAGAATTGTAAACTGGGGTCAAGTAAAATAGACATTACAAAATGATATGGAAAAGGCTCAGATTGAGTTTATGTCTATTTTACTGTTTGATAGGAAGGTAATAATACATGCTGCCAACATATTTCGTCTTGGAAACAAAACAAAATGGTTGAACAATGAAGTTATATTCTTTCTTGATAGGCTAGGAAATGATAATTAATTTTAGACCATCAGAGAAGTGTAAAAAGTGTGAAGGAATTTTTGTATTATATAATTGATTTAAAATAACTATACAAAAATAAATTTAAACCTGTAAAACACTGTCTTAAAAAATTATTTTGATGTAGTAAACATTTTTTCAAGATATAGCTGACCCTTCTTAGCTTAAGACCAAAGTTACAAAAAATTAATAAAATATAATTTTATAACCAAAATAATAAATCATAATAAAAGAAAAGTTTATTTTTTTATATTACTTTTTCTAAAATATATAAAGTATTTTGATCATCATGTAATTGCTCATACATGTAAATATCAGTGACAATAATAATTAAATAAAAATAATAATTAATACATTTTTTAAAATATAATTATTTTATTTTTCAATGTCAAAACATATCATAGAATCTATTATAAAGCAATAAAAATAGGAGATTTTTTTAATTCGTACAATATTGCACATGATAAATTCTAATAAATACACCACTTAACTAATTTGTATTAATTATTTTATCATGATTAAAAAAATAACAAAGAGACACGCAAGATTTATATTCTCTTTTATAATACTATATTGACGTTAAAGCTTTGAGAAAATAAAAATGCATATAATCGCATATAATTAATTTGTTAAGAGAGTAGATTTCTAACAAACTAAATAATGCATATTTAATATACGTATTTGAAAAACAATTACTTATTTTGATTAGATTTTTTAGATAATTTATTTTAAAAATGTAGTTACATCTTTAAATTTAATGCTATATATTTTGGTATATTTAGAATAGAAAAAATTATAAAAAATATTTTAAAAGGAAAATATACAACTCATTTCATTGTGCTAAATAAGTTTAGGAGAAGCATATAAAAAAATGAATAAAAAAAAACATGTATATCATATGATGATGCTTTTAGTTTTTTTTTATGTCAAATATTTTTTTAATTTTTATTTCATCAATACTTATTCTATTCGATTTATTAAGTAAGACTTGAAATTTATGTCAAATAAATAAAATCACAATACTATAGTTGATAAAGTTTGAATTTACAACCTCCTAATTTTTCAAATCACACACTATTAATTCAATATTAATGATTTAAAAAAATTACAATAAAACAATTTTTTATATTTGTTATATAATTTTAAGTATTTTTAAGTCTAATAAATTCAAGTTTAAATTAAATGAATTTATGAATAAGCAATTACAGGAGAAAAAATAATATAACAATAAATAAAACATTTTTATAAATTAAAATATAACATATTTTTTCAAAGTTTTAGATAAGTTAAATAAAACAACTAAAATGATAAAAAATATAAAATAATTTAAATGTATCATAAAATATGATTCATTTTATTATTTAATTTTTTAGTTTTATAATTTTTATTAAAAAATTGTCTTAATTAAGTTTAAGTAAAAATTAAATACAAACAAAAATTAATTATTTCACTAAAATATAGATAATAATATCAATCTTAAAATATTTTGAAAAGTAAGTATTATTTATTTTAACAAACTAACTGAAAATATTTATATAAAAAATTTGGGAGTTTCAAGTGATATAGAAAAAATCACAATTTTCAAAAATAAGACAAAGTATTTACATGTTTAAAATTAATTAAAAATTGATCAATTGTAAAAAAAATCTATATATGAAAATTATAAAATTAACATAATAAAGTCTACTTAAAATAAATAATTTACCTAGATATTTATTTATTAAATTATCGTATAAAAAACTTATTTATTTAAAAAAATTAGTTTAAAACTACATTAAAAACTTATTCATCTAAAATTACTAATAATATTATAATTATCATTATTTTATTAAATTTTATATTCTTATCTTAAAATAATATATTTAATGTCATTTAAAACCTTAGATTCATTAATTTAAACAAGCTATTGGAAAATAAAATTTTAAATAAAAATTTAGTCTGTAACAAATTATTAAAAAGGTTCATATAAACCTAAAAAGGAATTTATTTATTTCATAAAATAGGTACTTTCCTAAAATTAAAATAGCAAAAAAAAATAAAAATTAAAAATAACAACGCATGAAAAGGAATTAAGAGATAATAAATCAAATTATTAATTATCAATAATTTTTTTTAAATGAGACGAAATTGGGTTAAACAAAATAATTAAAAAATTGATACAAAAAGCCCAGTTTTTCTTTCTGTTGTGTGCAGACATCAAAATATTGAGAGAGGAAGTGAAAGATTTGGAATCCGTTTTGAACTCGCCGTCAAAACTCATTCCAGTAGCAACTGACCGGTTTCACCGATCTTCACCGCTTTTTGTCATTCATCAGATTGTGGGGTTCAAGCCAAAAAATTGAATTTTTAATGCAAGTAATGATTTTTATTCTGGTTTATATGCTCCTACATCAATGAAGGGTTGTTTCATGGCATGATCACTAGTATCATCGAATTTTCCTTTTGGGTTTTTGAGGGTTTCGCGTTTCCTTCGCTGGGTTGGTGTTTTTTTTTCTTTTCAAAATTGTTTTTTTGATTTGGATTTTTTTTATGATAGTTTTTTTGGGGGTTTGATTCAAGTGATGCTGGACTTCCGGGAATGTTTCAATGTGATAGGGTTACTATTGGGGTTCTGGGGTTTGGCCTAGGGCTATAAAGTTTTGGTGGGTGGTGGAGATGGAAGACAATACTGAGCTTGAGGAAGGAGAGGCTTGCTATTATAAGGATGATGATGAAGGCAACATTGACCTTGATTCTCTCTCTTACATTGTAAGGGTTTACTTGAATGTAATTTTAACCAAGTTTGAAAATTTCCCATTTGAATGTGCTTGGTGTATGGTTTGAATGATCAATAAAATTGGATCATTGTGCTTTCGTTGATCATGGTGTTTAAATTAAATGTAACAATGTATTTGGTTCCTAGAGGAAAATGTGAATAAAAATGTTATAGAATTTTTGGACTAAATCAATATGATACAAGCTGAACACAACTATTGGCTATTGGACTTTATATTCATACCTAAATTCTTTGTTAGTGGCAAAGAAATTTGATCATAATGAAGTGATTTAGAAACATTATAGAAATCTTGAGTTTCTTGTGTTTTAACAAGCATAGTGAATCTATCCTTGAAAAATTCCAATACCTATGCATATCATGAATTGATTTTGTGTGCTTAATGAACAATGATTCTCTACATGTCTATTCTGATGTATCATGAATGAATAATGTAGGTTACTGGTTACCAAGTAACACCACAATTATCATCAATTACTAGGAAATAGGTTTTATTTGCCACACCATTAATTCTTGTGCGTAATGGTATTGATGCAAGTTAATCTTCTAGATGCTCTTATATTGTTGATGCTATATTTTCGTGCATTGTGTATTTTGTACTCTGAGAAAGTTAGCACCAACAGATCAAAACATAGAATTAATGATAATTCTTAAGTACTTTTTGATCTTCATGGTGCTTTCTGTTGATATGCTTTATATTCCTATGATCATTGTTGATTAATGCCTTTTTTTTCTTTGAAGTACTCTTGGTAAAATTTTAGCATGAAATTATTAGGACTAATAAATTTTTCTCCTGAAGGATGAGAGGATTCAACATGTTCTTGGTCACTTTCAAAAGGACTTTGTAGGTGGTGTATCTGCTAAAAATTTGGGTAAGTGGCATAATAAAATTCAAAGCTTGTATTGAGAAATGAAAAAGCCGTCTTTGTGTCGATGAAGTGATGTTATCAATTCAAATAATATTTTTCAGGTGCAAAATTTGGTGACTATGGTTCCTTTTTACCAACCTATGAGCGCTCCCCTTTTGTTCGGTCTCATTCAAAGACTCCACAAAGAAACCACAGCTCACCAAAATCTACTATCAATCTCCACATGGAGGTATAGGCATATAGGAAATTTTTGTTTGTCTATTTTACTGTTTGATAGGAAGGTAATAATACATGCTGCCAACATATTTCGTCTTGAAAACAATACAAAATGATTGAGCATTGTGATTTATATTCTTATACAGGCTATGTCTCATAACACAAAAGCACCTTCAAATGTGCCTCCTCTTGCAAGGCATGAAAATGCTTCCCACGGTTCACATTCATTTCATGATTTAAGAGCAACTTCAGTGAATGAATTAGTGGAGAAAGATAGAGGTATTTCTTCAAGTGATATAGCTGAGAGGTGCACTTTGAAAGATGATACTACAAAAAAGACAGGGAATTCAACTGACCAAAGAACACTGAAGTTTCGAATCAAAATGAAATCTACTATCTTAGCACAAAAAAATGCTGAAATTTACAGTGGCCTTGGGCTTGATAACTCTCCATCTTCATCAATGGGGAATAGCCCTGTGGAAAGTGAAGGCATGCAACCTGTATCTCAAGAGAATGCTGAAGATTCTCCAATTGGCATTGTTCAGGTAGGGGACCATTTCAATTTCTATACCGTTTAGTTACATTAGAAAGATTAAAGTATTTACTTATTATTTGATGACATAGGATATGACTTCCTTTCCTATCCCTGGGGGTGTTCTATCATCACCTCTACATGAAAGTTTGCTCTACTTGATAAAAAATGAAAAAGTTATTAGAAACATCAGATATATGTCTTCTCTCAACAGTCAACAAGATCCTTGTTCCATGTCGACCGATGAATCAGATTCTTTTGTGGGTGATTGGCATTTGAAGAAGAGGACAGTGAGAATAGTGAGACAAAGTGATAAGCTATTAAAATTGAAACATATGAATGGCACCCTGTCTGAGAATGATATGACGTTGCATACAAAGAAAAGGTTAGGAAATAGAACACCAGATCATAAGGAATTTTTCTCTAATGAATTGAAATGGACACCTCTGTCAAGTTCAATTTGTGATGCTGGTGAAACTGCCGAAGTCACTACTAAAACTTCTGAAGCCTCCAAGGAGGTTAATGAGAATGGGGTGCAAGGCAGAATGGTTTCTGTTGAAGCATTGAAGGAGGAATCATTGGAGTCAAGATCTGGTCAGGATTTTGCGAAAATTGAAAAGCAAAATGCAGGAAATGGTTGTATGAAAAATGTTTTGGAGTATACACTGGAAAATTCCTGCAAGGATAAGTCTGCTGACCCTATGAATAATGACAAGTGTAATACTTACACAATTTCCAATACGGTTGAACGTGATGCAGTAAAACGTAAGGTCGGTCAAAAGCCTGAGATCCACCAGAAGGTGATGGTTGTAACTGAGCGGAAGAATAAGTCAAAAGGTGGTCAGAGTCCTGGAAAAGCAGAGGCTGTTGCAAGAAAAGATAGCTTTGATGGTACTTATAATGCAATGGTAACTGATAAAGGGAGAGCTGGCTTCACTGTTACTTGTAGAAGTAAAATGAATAAATCAAAGTCACTTAAGGACAATAAGTTCACTGATAGCAACAAAGATTCATTGAAACAAAAAAAATCAGAACGTAAAGTTGACAGTCTTGCTGGTAGTGGTGCAATAAAAAACATTAACATTTGTAATAAAAAACAGAGTGTATTTGGGGCTAAAGTAAAGGAAAGACTGAGTAGCAATAAAGTGGCCAACCAGTTGCTAGCTGGGTCATGCATAAAAGATGCTTCAGGTTCACTTCCCATTGCTGGAAACAACCCTGCTCCTGAGATGATTCCATCAGCTGTAGCAGCACCTCAACTTATTGCTGAGGATTGGGTATGTTGTGACAGTTGCCAGAAATGGAGACTTCTACCTACTGGAATGAAGCCAGAGCATCTTCCAGAGAAATGGTTGTGTAGCATGCTAAATTGGCTGTAAGTTGATTGCTCATTTTTGTTGGAATCATGCATGACCATATATTATGCTTGGTATATGCTGAGTATGCTGTATTATAAGCAATAATTATGGGCTATCTTGAATGATATACTGATTATTTTTGCAATTTCTTTTATTTCTCCTTGTTTGTGCTCTTCGTATTATTATCCTCTTCTCATTGTACTCTGAATATGTTGTTAGGCCTGGGATGAATTCTTGTGACTTCAGTGAAGATGAGACGACAAAGGCACTTTACGCCTTATATCAAATGCCAATTTCTGAGGGTCCAAACAATATGCAGAGCCATGGTGCTGGAACTGTAATTGGAGTGAGCTCTACAGATGCTTTGCAATATGGCCTACATCACAAAATGTCTAGTTCTGATGTGTTGTCTGATCGAGGAAAGAAGAAACATGTTATTAAGGAAAAGACAACGTCAGGAATTAATAATGACATGGTTCAGCTCTCAAATTCTGCAAAGACCAATACTCAAGTATCTAGGAAAAATAGAAGCTTGAATGACATGAATCAACATCCTGCTGACTTAAACCCAACAAAGATGAGTTCTTCTAAACACCTTAGCAGGTTTGGCAACATGATTGAAGAAAAACATGTGCCTAAAAAGAAAGAAAAGCAAGTAAATGGAGGTATGTCATTCATTTTAAAGTTGATGTATTATTATTTCAGATTTATTATTTCATGGTTTTTGAATGAGCCTAGTGGTGTCATATGATTTATGTAGCTGACCTCACCTAGTGAGATGTGATTTGGTTGTTGTATTTATTTTTGTGAGTAAGCAATTATATATATTCTTAATTTAAATTGTCAATGTTTTCACACATTGGCAGGTGACAGAAAGCATGTTAAATTGAAGCGTAAGATGGATGCAGATCAATGTAGATCGGGAACTCCCAAGAAATCAAAAACTGAAAATGGTTGCTATGCTGATAAACAACTGAATCCTGGCACAGGCCTTGAGAAGGTGGCTCTAAATTCTACAAATGGTTTGCCAATGAAAGCTAGTCGGAAGGATATGAGGAAGTATGATGAGTATTGTTTATCTGAGGATGCACAGGACAGATTACCTGTAAAGAAAGAGGGAGATCAGGCTCAGGCCTTGTCTGGTGGTGGGTCCTTGGATGTGAAAAACAGCAGTAAAAACGGTTTAATGAAAAAAAGGAAAAGGAGGGACTGGTTGGATGATGAAAAGCATAACAACTCATACTCCTTGAACGGTGATAAGCAGCATGGTGAAGAGGGCAATGCAAATGAATTTAGGAAGGAAAAGAAGTACAAAATTTTCAATAAAGAGGCAAAATCAGTTACTGAAGGTGATGATAAATTGAGTAAAGGTGGGATGAGGCAAGTTTGCTTGTCAGGCAGTAGGGACCAAAATACTGTTGGGACAGAAGAAAGGCTTGTTGATAAATGTCAGCAGCCAAAGAAGCTAAGAAAAAATATTGCATCTCATCAAGCTTTGGATGGAACTGATCAATTGGGCAAGGATTTGGGCTCTGGACATCTTTTATTGGCAGCAACATCAAGCTCTTCTAAAGTTTCAGGGTCTCATAAAGCTAAAACCAACTTTGAAGATGTCAGAGGTTCGCCTGTAGAATCTGTTACCTCGTCACCTATTAGGGCCTCCAACTTGGATAAGAATATTTTGGTGGTGGGTGACACTTCAGTGAAAGATGATGCTACAAAAGGTGGTCTCTCTTCAGTAGGTTCCAGGAGAAGTTCAGATAATAGGGAGGGAAAGCTATCAGTAAAATTGAAGGAGGGTAGAATTTCATACAACTTACATCCTGCATCCCACAAATTATCTTCGGTGGAGTACCAGGTTGAGGATGCTAGAGATAGAACCAGGATCCAAGCTAAACATTCTTCTGAACCAAAGAATAACTATTTGCTTGAAGGTGGTGTTCATGTTGAACATGGCAATTTTCCAAATGGTATACGTCATGAGGAGAAAGTAAACAAGGACAACCAGGAAAGTGAACTTTCTTGTCAGAAATCTGGTAAGGTTACATCACTGCACAGCAAGGAAAAGGACAGGTCTGGTTCTCGTGTTGGGGCAGATAAGATGACAGTTTCAGTTTTGGTGACTGGTTATTCCAAAAATAGTGGGAGTGGGGGGTATGATTCAGCTGTTGATCCTAGTTATCAAGCATCTGGTGTTGAGACAAGAAGTGATGCCAAATATAGTTCTCCCAAGTCTAAATGCAAAATTGACAGTATTAGTCAGAAAAGTGCTTTAAGACATGGGTCAAGCGAAACAGGAAAGCAAACTAAGCCAAAATATAGGGACTTAGAGAATTCAGTTTTGAAGGTGGATGCTCAATGTAGCACTGATAGACAGACTATCTCCCAGCAAAACCTGACTTGGGATTTTGAGGAAGAAAACAAGGCTAATCATGTTAGCACAGAATCAAGAGATGGGAAATCCAAAGTTCTCTCAGCTTCTGTGGGTGAAGTAAAAAGGGAAACATTAAATGTGGGTTCTAGAACTGTACCTCAGTATCAAAAGGGAGGCATGTCTAAGGAGCAGCAATTCCATGTTCCTGGCAATAGTGATTTAACCAAGTTAACAAGAAATTGTGCTGATGTTAATAACAGTGTTGGAGGTAATTATAGTTCAGGAAATTTTGCACCTGATCACAAACTCACTGTGTCAAGTCCTTTGAGAACAAATTCTAACCAAAATGTTTCTGACACACTGGAAGAGGCCACAAAACTAAAAGATAGTGCCAATCATTATAAGGTTAATTGATCACTTTGTGATTCGCTTCATATCTTTTGATTGGATCTAGCAACTTTCATTTTCTAACTGATGGTGTTAACACTTTTTACTTCATAGAACTCCGGGTTTGATTTTGAAAGCAATGAGACTTACTTTCAAGCTGGTTTGAAGTTTCTACATGGAGCATCTCTTTTAGAGAATTGTTCCAATGAGAGTAGCAAGCATGGGGAAATGAGTCAAATTCAGATTTATGCTACTGCAGCCAAGCTTTTCAAGTACGTACAAAATTCTGAAGGTCTAAGCAAATTTACTATTTTTAATGATCTTAATTTTTACCTTTATTTATTTATTCATCAAAGTTCATTTTGAGGGAAAAAAAGGTTTGAGAACATGCAATTTGGTTGTGAAAAAATAAGGCTGGAAGTGAGTTGAGTCATTTTGTAAGCCGGCTCTCATCTTGGTTCTTTAACAGCTCAACGAACAGAAATTTTGTCTGGTTCATCAATGAGCTTAGCTGGAGCTTTCAGATCTCATTAGCAAATGTGGTGGCCCAATATATAAATACAGACATCTTTTAGTAATGATGATGATGATGATGATGCTTTTTAATTAAGAAATCTAGGGCTTGTAATGACAATTTAATTATAATGGATTTTAAATAATACATTTTATTTGTAATGCTTGTAATGAAGTTGAACAACGACAATAGTATAAATGTTGTTCCAATAAACGACATTAAAATTTGTTGCACTTTTATCTTTCTCTTGAGCTATATGTGTTAGCTTGCCTTCAATCATTCAAATTCAATGCCTTGAAATGTTTTCAGATCCTGTGCCCATGAATATGAAAATCGCCAAGAAATGGCAGCTGCCGCTTTGGCTTACAAATGCATGGAGGTGGCATATATGAGAGTGGGTTACTGTAAACATTCTGCTGTGAGCAGAGATCGAAATGAGTTGCAACAAACTTTTCAAATGGTTTCTCAAGGTATTAGAATATACATGCATTTTTGTCTTCATGCTTGTTAGGCGTTGTTGTATATGATGATTTTGCTATGTTTATACTTGCATCCTTCTTCCACCAATGAGTACAAAAAATTGCATGGTATCTATGCACATGGTGGAAAGGGGAAAGCTAGTGAGTAATGAATTGGTTCTTCTATATTCTAAAATACTAAAACTGATTTTATCCAAAAAAGAAAATTGAAAACTGATTTATGAATATGATGTATCTTCCTGTTTTGAATGAAATGGGAGCACATGATAACATCATTTTTCATTGTCTGGGGATCTCAATGCGATAAGCTAATGGAGTGTGTTAGATTTAAAACCATACATGATTTTTTACAAAATGGGATTGTTGGTTCATGACATGTTATTAAAAGCCTCTTTGACTCGGTGGTCAAAGTGTTAGATTCTTGTGGCTCCCCATTCTTGTAATAAAATGTGAATTCCACCATGAATTAAAATGAGTCTAGATTTGTCTTCCTTCAAGTCCAACCACCGAAAAAAGTGCTCTTATGCAAAGGAATGTGTTATATATAAATTCATTCATGAGCCTTCTTCATCTAACTGCTCTGGTTTATGATGGAGTGAACACGACATACTTCAGACTTCAGATAGCTTGATGGCCTCATCTTTGATATTAGTTGTGTGATGGACTCATTCATGCCTTGATCCAAGTCATTGATGTATCACTGCTTTTTTATTCTGTTGTTTAGGTGAATCTCCTTCATCTTCTGCATCCGATGTGGATAACTTAAACAATCAGGCAGCAACAGATAGGGCCACTTTGCCTAGGGGTACTAATACTCATGTTGCTGTCAATCAAGTCATATCTACTCGAACTCATCCAAATTTGGTCAGGCTTCTTGATTTTGTAAGTTTTAATTGTTGATAAACATTATGTTCTATTTAGAAGTTTATCTAGCTATGTTAATCTAAGGGTTTATTGATTGAGAATAATAGCTGAAAATGTAACTTTTTTTTTTGGATAGATGTTTGAGAAAAAAACCAGGATGCATGTCTGCTGTTTTTGCCATGCAAGAGTAGTTCAGACTTCTGTCCTTTAGACAATTTTCTATTGCATGCAAGATCTTGTCTTGTACCTAATACTCCTAGAAAGAGTGCTTCTGTTATATGAAAAGAAATGCTAGCATCACACTCTTCTGAACACACTTTTCAGTATACTTCATATAATTGGTCTATTTGTTACAAGGTCAAAGTTCTTGTCTCGTAAATTAATGATTTTTTATAGTTAGACTTTTTAAAAAAGGGACCAATTTCATGAACTGTGGCGAAGAGTATGCTTGTGTTGCTAACATTTCTCTTCATATTAGAATCATGTTGTGTTGAATGTTGTGCAGGCAATTGTCACTGACTCACTTAGAACTTTTTAATGTGATGTATGTTTTAGTTTTTGGTGGACAGGTGGTGGTAAACTTTCAGGGTTATAGCCTTCTTTCTTTCTTCACCTTAACCACTTATGTAGTCATTTCGTTGTAGGCACAGAATACCAAATCTTAAGGATGGTTATGTATGTCCATTATTTTTCAAGAAGAGTTGGGTGAAAGTATTTGTGATTTTGCAGACTCAGGATATACATCTTGCAATGGACGCTTCTAGAAAATGTCAGAGCACATTCATGGCTGCTAATGTGATCATGGAAGAAGCACGGAATAAGGACTGTATAACTTCTATTAGGAGCGTTGTCGATTTCAGCTTCCAGGATGTGGACGAGCTTGTACGTCTTGTTTGGATTGCTACAAAAGCCATAAGTCGTGCTGGTCTTGGTGGTGGTAGAGATTAACTTGATCCTGTATATAATGTATTTTTTTGGTTTTACTTCTCTACTGAGATGGCATTGTGAAAGGAAGGGGAGCTAAGAGATATCTACCTAGATTGGCACCTGGAAACCTGGTAAGATGGCAGGTTGAAGGCGATCTATTACCCTTGTGTACATTTGTACAAAAGTGATTGATTAGAAAATTTTGTGACGTTATTTCAATTAAGTTTTTTCTTAATGTGGGTAGGGGTATAACACACACCCTTAAATTTTATGGGTTAGAAAGAGGGATGGGATTCCTGGCTGTCAAGTGACACCGGATGGATATTATGTTAGTTCAGTGCTACATTCTTTGCTCCACTGACATGGAGCCCCGGGAACAACAATATAGAGTCTGAAAATATTAGGCAACCATTTTTGAGGGCTTTGAATACTGATATAGTTAAAATAGGTCCATTGTTTATGACAAACTCTCCTTTTATGTTATCATATCAAAGTTTTGAATGAAAAGAAATTGTTGCAGATAATTTCCTCGTGTGTGTGTGTGTGTGGGTGGGTGTGTGGGTGTGTTATATCAAGTATAATTTGATGCTAAACTACTGTTTTACTAATATTTGATTTATGTTCAAGTGATTGCATCTTCTAAGTTCCTCCATCTATGTTTTGTTGGTCATATTGTTTATATTTGGGATTTGGTTGACTTTTTATGGCAAGGCTAAAGTGTTGGCCGTTTGAGGTATCATCAGTATGTGGGCAGGGCATCTTGTGAAGAAATATTAGCTAGGAGTGAGTTACCTTGCTTATCCAAGCTTTGCAGAATTTTCCTATTTTGACTGGTTTGAGAGTTTATTTCTTTTAGTTTTTAATCTTAACATAGAAGTACTCGCTATCATTGGATGACATCTTGTTACATAATGAAAATCTTGTTTTGATAACTACCTGAAGACTCAACTCTTAATAAAATGACAAAGCATGATTGGATAATAGTGTGATAGTCTGTATTAGAATTAAACTCTTACTTTTTTGGCTGGTAGAGATGGTCTAATCCAAAATTTGTTAATGTTGTCATTATGTTCGTTTAAGTATTAAACTACAATAAATAGAGTTATAGTTAATTTAATAATTTAAATTTTATATTTTTAATTAATTTTGTTAAATATAGTGATGATTTTTTTAAAAGAATATAAGTAAGTTAATTACTCTATCTAAACAACAATATTTAAAATGAAAGAAATTTAATTATTTTATAAAAAAATATTATAAAATAATAAAAATTTGAATGATATAATTTAAATTTTTTAATTACCTCATTCAAATACATCCTAAAACTGGAGTAGCAGAATTTTTTCTCTTCTGTATTCTCTTTTTCTTCTCTCCCCTCAAAATATTTGAACTAAACATAAAAAGAATATAAGCATTTCTTTTCTTCCCTCCAAATCCTACCAACTTAATATTTGTATAGGTGATGATGATATTTTGACCTAATAACTGCTTATAAAAAGTATCTATCAAATTTTGTAGACATAGGTGCAACTATTATATTTTACTTATACTTGCATAATATGTTTATTATGTTTTATTGTTTTTTTCAATAATTATTGAATTAGTTAGATAATTATATTGGTAATATTTTATTATTATAAATTAAATTATCTTTAAATTTTTTAAAGCAAGTTATTATATACTTTACTTTCAGCGAATGAACTTTTTGTATTATTATTTTTTATTATTGTTATAATTATATTAACTTTAATATTTTATTAATTTGTGAAACAAACTTATCATAGAAGATTACATTTTAATTAGTTTAAATGTAAATAATAAGTCTAGGATATTAAAGTTATCTATGTGGTTTTTTTTTAAAACATGGATAAAAGATATGCATTATAATTATAGTCTTATTCATTGCGATTTTGTTAACATAACTAACATTCTATTTTGTGTTTTTTTTTAAAAACTTTTTTTCATGTTTCTTTTACATGTTTGAGAATTTTCACATGACTAATCAGGATGCCAAGTTTGGATTGACTCATGAATATAACTTTATTTGTTTTAACGTTGAGGGAACATTAACTATTGCTAAGAAAAAGGATAAAAATTTCAATTTTTCCTTTCCATCCATCATGTTTGGAATGTTTCACTTCAGCAACCTAGCAAATATATATTTTAAAACATGTTGAAAAATATGAAAATATAAATCTAACTAGTATTATAATACTTAAATGTCATTAACTTAATTTAAACATTAAGTTCATGAATTACTGGGAGAACTAATAAGTCATTAGTTAAACTGCTATATAAATAAATATTAAAGTTTGCACGTATATATATATTATGTGAAACAAACTTGATCCGGTCGTTATGGTGATTATGTATAGTTCTTTTGCACATAACTATATGGGTTTGATTATTGGTATTGACTTCTAGATATATCAATATCCTCTGGGAAATCTCGCATCAGTTGAACCTGGTGCTCGAGAGAGTGGAACACCATATAAAAGGGACTTGACCATCTTCATTTAGAATATACATAATTAGTAGTCTTTTGTAGGTGTGAATGGAGCATCTTTATCAATTGTTGCTTGCAAAACCAACTCTATAGATATTCTTTTGTAAGCTTTGAGTTTGAGTTTGACATGAGTGATCATGTAAAAAAAAACATCTAACATGTTAGACAATATTAATTAGTAAACAAATTAATTCCTATACTTTAAAAGTTTATGAATGTCTTTTAACTTTTAAATCATTTAATTAAATCTTTTTGAACAAAAAAAAAAGAATCTTTAATCATATTTTTATGTTAAAGTTTCGTTAAGTGTAAATACTTAATTATAAATTTTAAAATAAAAATGTAGCTAATGACTTAATTACAAATAGATAAAATTTAGGAACATAATTACAAAAGTTTAAATTATCGAAAGTTATTTAAAACTTTACAAAGAGTTCAAGAGCCTATAGAATACCTTTAATCCATGTTACCTTAACGTTCCTCACTTGAAAGTAAATGAAACATTAGTTAACTTGTTCGTTTAATATGCTATAAGAGGGCTAATATTATTTTCTAACTTATTTCTTCATTCTTTGATTCGTAAACATTACTTAATTCACTTAAACCTCTAATTTTGTACTTTTGATGAATACCATTAACATTTTAAATAATTTTTAAAATGATATTTTAATTGTTTAGATAATCATGAATTCAACTTTGTTAACTGGAGGAAGGTTAAGTATGACTTGTAGAAACATATTATAATTTAAATTTTAAAAAAATGATTATCAAATAGCAGAGATCGAACCTTATAATGATGAATGGTAATGGAAGTTAATTGTACCCTTAACAAGCTTTATTTGTAATGTTTATTGTTTCAAATTTAAAATCACCGCCGAAGAGAAAAAAAATATTTGATTACTAACCTCTATTTAAAAGAAAAAAAGAGTCATACAATTATATTTGAGAAAATATTCTATTAAGAAAAAAAGAGAGTTATGGATTATAATTAAACAACCTTATCAAGAATGAGTTTGATTAGTGAAAATATTCTATCAAAGCAAAAACATAAGTTAGGATTATTAAAAACCTTATCAAGAATAATGTGTTTGACTTAAGTACGGGTATTCCTTTTCCTTGGGTTTTGTGCAAGTTGAGAAGAATAATTTGTTTCATTCGTTGTGTCATTGTATCCGTTGACATACCATTACCTAATATATGTGTTCTGATACTTGAGTCTCATTCATTGTGAGTGATTGCATCCTTTGGTACATACCATTCTATAATATATTTTGTTTGACTTTTAATATGTAACTTTAGTGACTTTATCATTTAACTTGAATAATTGTTGTAAAGCTATAAGATTTTATTGTGTTTATAATTGTATAATTGATCTATTTAGTAAGAAGTATTATATTCAAATTTCATCATATTTCTTAACCTAATGATTACTAATAGTTATAGATAGCAAACAGAAATTAATTTTGTGTCCTTTAAATTTAGAGATACCTTATGATATTTAATATTAGACCAAAAAAAAACTTTGTTTATTTAATTATCTTTTGGTAAGCAAATAAAAGTCACGAATCGCGAATAGAAATTGGTTTTGGGTCCTTAAATTTAAAGATATTTTATGATCTTTAACATTAGGTAAACCAAAAACTTTATTATTTATTTATCTTTTTGTTGGAACTTGGAAAGAAGTATGATAGAATAATTGCAAAGCATATCTGTTGACATATTAATTATTTGATGTCACCCTGTGCATAAAATGTTACATGAACAAAAATAATTTCAATATATATATATATATATATATATATATATATATATATATATATAAAATATTTTCTTGGATATGTAACGATCCATGAGATCTTAACAAATACATAATGATCTTAAACAAATATACTATCACTTATAGTCTGAATGGGATTTAATCCTATAACCTATAAATAAAAGTTTCTTTTCTAAAGAGTTGATGCACCAGGTATATTATCACTTAAAGAAGATTCTTATAAATAAGATATTCTTCTAGTGTAAGGTTTTCTATCAGTTAACATAGTAAGTGTAAACATATGAACAGAAGAGAGGATATGTTAATATATGTAGTGGAAGATTAAACCTTTGACATTGACATCATACGAAGGATAAATTCAAATAATTTTCTCATTCTAAAAAAATGTTTTTATAATCTACTAATGGATTTTCACCAATAATATTCATTGACTTTTATCTGTCTAATATGTGCCATGTAGATAACAAATTTCATCTACCAACAAAAATATAGGATTTAATGTATATTAATATATTTGATTTTTTTTTTAACAAAAGGTCACTTTTTTTAAAAAAGAAAAACTCTTAAGAATCTGATAAATAAAAACTAAATCAAACCCAATTAATGTACCTTAGCAAGATTTCTCTCACACACAGATAGTGGTGGAGCTAGAGGGAAAAGCTGCAGATTTTTGTGGAGTGCATGCTTTAAAGGTCAACAAAAATATATTTTCTTAGTAAACTTTCATATTTCGAAAAAATTTTGAGGTGACTAAAGTCCCTCGATCCATTGTTTTAATATATGCCACATATACAGGAATACTATTGCTACATAACAAAAACTTTTGGTAAAACTGTTGAATGCGAACTACTTTAATTGATTGAATCGAGAAAAAGAAAATTAGACAGATTGTTAATTAAAAAATAAATAATAAAATAATTTATATTTTATTATTTGATTTAGTTTGGTTTTTTATTTTTATGTTTGTATTAATTTTCCTATTCCACATTCATATAAATCCTAATCTAAAAGTATTTTTTATTCTTAAAAATATTAAGTTTATTTTAACTTGTTACTCATAATTTGGACCAAGATAAAATTTATGATGAAATTTGGACAAATAAGTTTCAGAATAAAAGAAAATTAGGGAAATC